CCACGTAACGACCCATTTTTTGTCATCTTCATAAGAATGAGCCATCGATCGGAACAAGTGATAATCGGACGGGGCAATGCCTGGAAGTGTTTCCAAGTAGGTTTTCACTCGTTTTGCAACATGTGGCCTAGCTTTGCCATTTTGCAAAATCACTTTGTCGTGTCTCTGCTCGTATAGCGGCCGTTTTTTCTTCCATGCTCGGATCAAATGCATCGATCGTAGTCAATAGCAATCTTCCGTGATGGTTTCTGTCGGTTTGAGCAGATCATAATAAACTACACCCAGCTGATCCCACCAAATGCAGAGCAGAAGCTTCGAATCATGGATATTCGGTTGTGCCGCTGATGTTGATGCATGGCCGGGCTTACTGCACGATCTTCTACGCTTAAGGTTATCGTAGTGTATCCACTTTTCATCGCTGGTCTCTCAGCTTCAACTCGTACGGCACCCAATGTCTTTGCTTTTGAATCATTCCTAATGATTTCAAATGTTTCGAAACTGTTGTGTGATCAACTCCTAATAATTCTGTAAGTTCAGCTTACGCCTGACATGAGTCTTTATAAAGTAATGCCTCCAATTCTTCGTCTTCAAACTTTTTCAGTGCGCTAGTGCTTCAACATCAAAATCATTATTTTTGAAGCGTCTAAACCAATCTCTGCATGTTGTTTCCGATCAAGCATGGTCGCCGTAAGTCTCAACAAGAGTTGTGTGCGCTTCAGCTGCAGATTTCTTTTGAATAAAATTCCCCGCAAATACGCTTTCTTTGGCACGAAATCCAACATGTTTAACGCTATGAAAAACAAAGTTGTTTACACTTTGGCGAAATGATATACACTGAATTTCAAACTTGCTTATAGTATTTCCTTATAAATGCGTTACCATTTTTGTAGTATATACTTACATGTTCTAATGTAACAGTGCATAATATATATATCAGGGATAGAGCGTATGTAAATATAAAAGTGGACATTGAAGTCAACACCGGGACAAGAGTCTGTTTCATGCTAAACACAATCGCATGAAACAGACTGTTGCCTCTGGGTGTTAATTTCAATGTCCACTTTTATATTTGCATACGCTATATATATATATATATATATATATATATATATATATATATATATATATATATATTTTTGGATTTTCAGTTACGATAGGAAACTCTAGGAATTGACAGTCATAACTGTAAGTTTAAAATTTAAAGATACAAACACAATATGATAATTTGTGTTTTCAGTTTTTGCGAAATTAAACTGCAAAATTTAAATTTAAAAGTTTGCATATGTAAATATAAAAGAGACCTATTGTTTCCATGTTTTTCAAAAGGTATATGCCAACGTAGCGACAGTTCGATATAATTCCATTTCTTTTGCATATTAAATCATCCACGTTCTTAAATTCTATGATTTTTCGTTTCTTCTCCAGGCATAATTTGCAATATCTGCCTCTGCTTCTCTTAACCTTTAATATATACAATTCTACTAACGGTATCTTTTAGTTCCTGTATATATTTGAATTTATGGTGTTATGTGAATGATGGTAACTATTTTGTATATCTTTAAATTCTTTCAAAGTTGTTCCTTCCCTGGCTTTTCCGTGTTGTCAATTCTGCCATGTATAATGTGTTTCTCTCTCTGGAATTTCCCTACAGTGGGCATTTGGCGTTATTACGACAATTACATTATTATTAATGTTTTTGTGTTGTTGCTGTTTGGTATTTTATTTTTATGTTAATGGGTAACTAAACTGAACATCTTATCTTTCTTTATATCTAAAAGATCTTTTAAAAGTATTTAAAATAGAGCACAGTAAGAATACAAACTTATAGTAAGTAATGAAATATAAAATTATATATATATATATATATATATAGTAATAATAACGAACTATTCCGACCTACCCAATTTATACTCTATAAAAAGTCTAATTATTAGGTTGGTGCAAAAATAATGTCGTAAGAATGTCGTTTTTTGACGTAGAAAAGTACGTCAAAAAACGACATTATTACGTCATTATTTTTGCACCAACCTAATACTAACAGTTCAGTTTAGCAGAATAAAGCTTCTGAAGTTAATATTCGGCATTGTCTATTCCTTACAATTTATTCTGCTAAATTCACCATGTAACGATGGAAAGTGGACTCTATCCAGAGAAATTAACCATTGATGCTGAGACTGAATTTCGCCACAAGCAAAGAATCTTTAATTCTTGTGAAGGATGGTAATGATGCTACTTTCAATAAACTGCATTACTTAATAAAATGTTTTTGAATTCTTTCCATTCCCGAGAAGGTGCTCTTTAGAAACTTCATTGCCATCATGGCTATCACAACCAGGGACAGTGCTATTAAAAAGCCACGTACGCGAGAATAAGCAAGATCCACTAATAGATAGAGTGGAACTGATAGAAGCTAATCCTCAATATACCTTAATATGCTACCTCGACGGGAGGCAAGATACGGTCTCTCTAAAAGAAGGAATGTGGAGGTGAACCAGAAACTTCCCAAGAGCTCAGGATGCCAACCTCTGACAGTCTAACCGACGACTCCAGGGATTGTTCACAATCTCCTAACCCTAGATCCTCATGGTAAAAATGAGTCCATCCTACCACTGATAATACCGACACAGAGAGCAGACTAAACTATCAGTGGAGAAGGCTGAAACATAATAAAATGAGACCCTCTGACATTGAATCCCAGAAGAGCAACAGCTCTGAGACCTCCTCTGAATCAGAGGAAGGATCCTGGCGAAATCAGCCCACCCCGAAGACGACAACGGATCTACAAGATACCCAGCCATCTGAAAGTAAAACAATGACCGGGAGAGAATGTGATGATATTGAACTATCCTGACCTATCCATTTCAATACTAACAACTGTATAAAAGACTGCTTATGATTGGTTTAGGAGAATAAATCTAGTAAAGTTGATATTCGTCGTTGTCTATTCATTACACACACACGTACACACACATATATATTATATATTGCTAGGATATATATATATATATATATATATATATATATATATATATATATATATATATATTCAAACATGTTTAGCTGAATAATATCGACAAATTCTGTCTATCCAATTTTATATTAACTTTCTTCAAATTTCAAAATTATTTCTTTTATATAATCAGTAAATTTACCAAAGTTCATTCTTTTTTCTCGCAGTACTTTCGAATTCTTGTTATATTCGTTTTCAAGGATTTCGTCCTTTGTGCATTTATTTATTGTTTTATATATATATATATATATATATATATATATATATATATATATATAGTCGACTCTCCCGTCGAGATTCGACGTATGAGGGCCAAGCATATCAGTTCCCAGGAAACCGACAGCCCGACAACGGCACATGAGATTTGATTATAGTGGTGAAGGCTTCGTGCAGGACCATCCACACTTTTTGAAGGGACGAATACAGAGACCTGGTGCACTGCGTGCCACAAGGTTCCAAAAACGACTCGCCGCAAGTTTTGAATGCAGAGTTGTCCTTCTCCTAGACCAGTTGTCGTCCAAGGCTATAGAACCCAGTCTGTCCTGCTATTTTACCCATAGCTGGAGGGAGAAGAAAAGGATTCATATCTTTCCCAAGGGTATTAGCACGTAAGTGACTGTAATGGATTCGACTGAATTTGAACTGGGCTCTGCGATTCATCAATCCAAGTCATTACTCTACCGTGCCTTTTATATATATATATATATATATATATATATATATATATATATATATATATATAATAAATTAATAAACACGACAGTTTGTGGATCAGTCGTAATATTTTATATTACTAGGATCCACTTGGATTATATACGAACGGATTTGTTACCTTTACTATATATTAATGAATTGAGCACTCTGGTTGCGGGCGTTTATATACATTCGTATATAATACACTAGAATTTCCCATTTGCTGATAGCTTAGGGGTAGGATCTCCGACTGATACCGAATCGGTCGCGTTTCAATCCCGGCTTGCAGCAATCCCGATCTCTACCGACACTGAAGAGCTGCGACACAGGCTTGTTTGTTTATTTATTTTTTTTTATTTATTTATTTATTTTTTTTTTTATATTTTTTTATATATATATATATATATATATATATATATATATATATATATATATATATATATATATATATATATATATATATATATATATATATATATAAAATAACAGAAGTGATAAAAGTAATATATTTGTCGTGAAAAGTTTATCAGGATCTATTAGTTTAACGCATGTACAAAGAGATTATCATCTCCATAGCTCTTATTGGCTTTGTTACTAAATTAAAACACTTTTGATAACATTACCCTAATCTCTATCCTTGTAAAGTCTTTAATTTTCTATTATTTTTGCCAAACGCAAATTTTGTAATTGAAACTGATATTTTGGATTGCGAAGGTCTTGCTATTAGTCTCAATTCAATTTCCCAAAAAACTTAATCTTCGGCAGGTTAGTAAGAAGAAAATAAATGCAACATTAGTTTGAAAAGAATGATTTTGATTGGATGATGTCTTGTATCCATTGACAACAGAATGTGACCTTCATTACGAATTCTGTAAGTGGTACTTATTTAATTCACGATATGAGAAGGTCCGAGTAATGACCCTGGTAAAAAGACACCAGAAATACCTAAAGGACACCCTTCTTGCCACTACACTGTATCCTGTTCTGTTCTAAATGTGGATAAGAGGATCAGGTGACATTCTCATGTTTGCTGTCGTCTGTTATGTTCCAAATATGATATTTGAATCGCAGATGTGACCATACACATGTAGGTTCGTTTCTAAGAGTAAAATATTAAAATTCAATTAAGTTTAGTAAGTAATTATCTTTATTTTCATTGAACACGTTGGCAAATACTTCTGCACGCATTACATTTTATTTGGCCTGGGATTGATTCTCAAGTTTTTAATATTAAACACGAGTGGAAAACAAATTATGTTTCGTGGATTTTTGTAAAGTTTAAGAAAAATAATAGATTTTATGAGGAGGACAAAGTGCAAGTGAACAACAATTGGATATGGAGACTTTGTTGATTGTGGAAAAAAAAAAAAAGCAAAGGAAGAAATGTCAGAAAGAAAGAAAGCAAGAATGAGGGGATAACTCGATAAAAATCGGGGGTGGAGGCAAAAAGAAAGAAGCAATTGAAGGAAACACAAAAAAAGAAAGGGGAAGCTAAACGAAAGTAAGCAAGAAGGAAACTAGTAAGAAGAAGAAGAAATAAATAAAAGAAGATGAAGAAGAAGAAACAGCAGCAGCAGCAGAAGAAGAAAGATGATGATGATGATGATGATGATGATGATGATGATGATGAAAAAAATGGCGAAAAGAAAGTAATAAGAATGAGGACTAGAAAAAGGAATGGAGAAGGAAACGAAAAAGAAGGAAGGAAACTATTTAGACAGAACGAAAATAAAAGCATGTAAAAGATAAAGGCAAGAAAAGAAAGAAAAAAGAAAAAAAGAAAAGGCGGTAAATGTAAAAAGGAAGAAAAAGGGAAAGAAAAAAGAAAGAAAGAAAAGAAAGAAAAAGTGAGGATGGAAAGAAGAAGAAGAAGAAGAAGAAGAAGATAATGGTGATGATGATACGAAAAAGAATGGTAGAAAGAAAGTAATGAGAAAAGTAATAAGACTAAAAAAGGGAATGTTGAAAAAAAGAAAAAGAAGGAAGGAAACTATTTAGAACGAAAATAAAAGATAAACGGAAAGAAAGAAAGAAAGGAAGAAAGAAAGAAAGAGTAAACGTAAAAAGGGGGAAATAGGGAAAGAAGGAAGGTAGAAAAGAAGGAAGGAAGGAAAAAAAGAAGGAAGAAAGTAGAAAGAGGACGAAGAAGAAAAGAAAAGAAGAAGAAAACGAAGAAGAAAAGAATGAAGAAGAAGGAATGAACGAAGAAGAAGGAAGGAAGAAAGAGAAGATGAAGAAGATATGAAGGAGGAAGAAGAAGAAAAGAATGAAGGAGAAGAAATGAAGGAAGAAGAAGAAAGAGAAGAAGAAGAAGAAAAGGAGAATGAAAAAGAAAGAGAAGAAGAAAAAGAAGAACTTTTAAATATAAATGAGTTCTGAATTTTCATTATTTAAAACATTACTAAAACTTTAAACTTTATTATTCAATTTTCTCACCACATTTTGACAGATATGTTCTTCGGCCTTCAAAACATGCATTTTGCTTCCTATCGTGTTTAAATATCACTAAGTTATTTTCCATTTCTTATCGTTATCTTTGTAAAGTTGTTAAATAACAATTTTTGAAATCAATAATGCACTTAAAATTTTGGCCTAAACTTGTGCTCGAACTGCAAACAACTGCATCAGTGGAAAGTATGTAACTATTTTAATCTATAGAAGAGCCATATTTCTTCTTCTGTGTGCCGTGTCTTTTCATGACGCAGACGATCATGGCTCTCCCCATTTTCCTGTCCTTTGTAGCTCTTAATAAATTTTGTCTTTTTGTTATCTCTCCTAAAACTTGTTCTGCCATCCATTTACTCAAGCTCGTTAGGTAGGCTATGCATGGTTCTCCACTCTCCATCTTGCATTCAATCTGTCCTGTGAGTCTCACATTTTCCAAGTCCTCTTTTCTCATTATATACCTTAGAAATTTCAACTGTCTCTTCCGAATGTTAAATAGAACTGTCCTTTACATTTCTATTTTCTCTAAAATTTCGTTGTTGCTCACATGTTCAGTCCATGGTATTCTCAGCATCCTTCTGTAGAACCATATTTCTGACGCTTCAAGTCTCTTCTTCATTTGTGAGGAGATTGTCCAGCATTCACTGCCATATAAGAAGACTGATAGTACATAACAGTTCAGTAAATTTTTCTTTGTTTCCTTTATTTCCAATATATTTACAACACTTTAGTTTAGACAATGCTACGAAATTCTTGATGCTTGAATAGAGGCTAGACTATGATATTGCTTTTAACAGACATATTTGTTATATAGGAATAAAATGTCACTGACGACACCTGAGTTTGAACATAGACCACCAGTGAGTAAAAACAGGCGATCCCATTATTGAATTAAGTGGACCATACCATTAGTAGAAAGTATCGTGATGACTAGCGATCGCCATTTCTAGTCTATCCTCTATTACAATTCGGATCGCTATTTCTATTCTATCCTCTGTTACTACACGGAGCGCTATTTCTCCTGAATTCTCTATTGCTATACGGGCCGCTATTCTCTACTCTATTCACTATACTATTTCTCTATTCGGATCACTACACGGGTTACTATTCGAGCGAATATTATCAAGCAAGTACTATTAGTGCGAGTGCTATTCGAAGGCGTCTAACACTAGTATTGTTCAACGGCGTACTATAGTTGAATCTACGATTACAAAGTATCTACTACAACGAGCATTACGAAAGTGACAACGACTATTCGTTGATATTACCAAAGTGGCAACGATTGTTCGTTGACATCACAAAAATATTATAACGCTATAACTTAGAATGGACAAAGCTCCAATTTTATTTAAAATTTAAAAATGGTTAGACAATTATGTTGTTTATATATGATCGAATTACTACCAGTCAAGATGAATGGATTACCCCATCGGCGAAGCTCCGTGTCTTTAGAAACTTTTGGGCCTTAAACTCATATCTGACATCAAGTGACTCATACATACGATCCATTGTTGAAAATAGAAAAGTGTTCTGTTCCCTGTACCGCTCCAGTAAGTACCTGACTCCTCGTGTTATTTTCTACTTTGGGCAGGAGCTGGCTAGTCCCCACTTTCCGATCTCGACAGAGTTCAAAAACGTCCTTGTGGAGACAGACTATTTTCCACCCTCCAACCTCTCTCTCACAGACGGGGTGTGGCAAGCCATTCACTACTCTATCGCTATTTCAATGGAAAGTGCTCGGATGAACTGCATTCCTTGATTCCGCCAGTTCTAATCTTCACCGTCAAGATCCACCATGCCACTGACATTGTAGCAAACCACCCACATGCCCTCTGTATTCCATTGGTGAGAAGTAAGTTCCACTCGAACAGCCTTTTCTCGCGAACCACTGCCCTGTTGAACCGACTCCCAAGAGGATGTTTTTTTCCGATCACTACAATCTTAAACTGTTCAAGTCTAGGGTTAACTGTCATCTTCCCCATCATATAGTTACCCTTCAATGCGACTCTCTACCTCGAGTGGCTCATGGGCCTTATACAGGGTGAACCTTATTGTAAAAAAAATAGTTCACTTCGATATCCGTTTTTTTAAAATGTTCATTATTCCTTTATTTCTATTCTTTTCATTTTTAATTCTGTCTTATCAATCCACCACTTACTTTTTTCGTATGAATATTTTTTTAATCATATCACCCCACACAAGACAGTAAAGCCACAAAGACACAACGGGTTGCCGATTATGAAAGAATTAAAAAGAGAAACCTTATTAAAGTGCGAGAACAATGGAAGAGTAATTAAGAGCACAATAGATGGCGATTGACATTGCATTTGAATTTTTGAAGGTCAAAGTTGGTTGGAAAGAAATGGAACCGGAAGAGAGTTTCCCAAGCGAGAAGTGCGAGAATAGAAACAGTATAGAACTTAAGGTTACATCTAGCCAAGTCTAGGTACTATATCGAAGAGTTCATCCGAACAATAATGAAAGTATTTATAGAAAAGCCACAGAGAAGTTACATTATGTTCAAGTCTAGAGTTAACCATTAGCTTCCCCTGTTATTGATATAAATGTTGCTTTTTTATTCATTATTTAAAAAGAATATATCCCGTAAATTTCTATTATCATTATTATTTAAAAAAAAATTGTTTTATAATCAAATGCTGGGTCATAACCAATGACCTAGTGCAAACGAAGGATACGATTTTTTGTTGTTTCCGCATAACTAAACAAAAGGCAGCCATTAAAAAAAAAACCTTTGATGGACAAAGCTCTTCACAGAATATGGCTTGTTATTGTTAGAAATATTTTTTCAAATTTCCTGGAGTGATGGTGCACGAGAGATTTTCTTGCTTTGTTGTAGCAGTTATTGCCGTTGTTGACTATATGTATAATACTAAAAAAATTGTGATTGCGTGCGTGCTTGTGTCGTGCGTCTGTATGCCACATAACGATTTACGAGTTGTTTATATAGTAAGTATTTTTATTTTAACTTTTTTGAAACTGACAATTTTTTTTAAATTAAAATATTTTTAAGCTAAAGACAGACACAAAGAGATCCTGTTTTGCTACTTCGTCCAGTTATTTGTAGAGTAATCATTTATATTTCAATTTTCTTCACACAAACAATATTTTAAATATTTAAAAATATTTTGTAAGTTAAACTGACTTAAAAATATTCCATGTGAATAAGATTTAAAAAATACGAGTTTTTTATTCAGTAAATATTTTTATTTTAACTTTCTTCAATCAGACAATATTTTTTAAATTAAAATATTCTTAAACTAAAGACAGACACAAAGAGATTTTGTTTTGCTACTTCGTCCAGTTATTTGTAATCATTTATATTTCAATTTTCTTTAGATAAACAATATTTTAAATATTAAAAAATATTTTAAGTTAATCTGATTTAAAAATATTCCATGTGAATAAGATTTAAAAATTACGAGTTTTTTATCCAGTAAGTAATTTTATTTTAACTTTCTTCAAACAGACAATTTTTTTTAATTAAAATATTTTAAGTTAAAGACAGATACAAAGGGATCCCGCTTTGCTGTTTCGTCAAGTTGTTTGTAGAGTAATTATTTATATTTCAGCTTTCTTTAAACAAACAAATTTTAAATATTTAAAAATATTTTTGGCATATTAAAAATATTTTAAGTTAATCAGATTTCAAGTTCAAGTTTATCCCGGAAGTTCTATTCCTATTAAATGCTGTAAACAATCAGTATAACGATAAACATGAACTTGTAAACCAGACCAATGATGACAGGAACGAATTGAAATATTTAACTGAATCATAATAACATTAATTTTCATTTCAATGGAATGTTAAAATCAACTTCAATGTTTTATAACCTGAACAGTCAGTGACCCACCGGTTTACGGATAGTCTAGTCATTATTATTATTGATCAGGCCAAAAGTGGAGCACTGTTACCATATATGGGCAGGAGTTTCCCAGTCTTTACTTTCTGGTCTCGATAGAATCCAAAAGCGTCTCCGCGTCCTTGTGGGTGACAAATTATTTTCTACCCTACAACTACTTTCTCACAGATGTAACATCGCTGGCCTCTCGCTGTTTTATCAGAAGAAAAGTATTCAGACGAACTACGGTCTTTAGTTCCACCAGTTCTAACCTTCATAGCTAAAGCCCGCCATGCTACGTACATTTAAGCGAACTACCCTAATTCCCTTCGTATTTCACTGGTGACATGTAACCTCCACCCGAAAAGCTTCTTCCCACGATCCGTTGCTTTGTGAAAAAGGATGTATCTCCGATCACTACAGTCTTAACCTATTCAAGTGTAAGGTTAACCATTGCCTTCCCCCACGTATCCACATAGACTGTACCTCTTAATCTGTAACTCTACCTCGAGTAGCTCAAGGGCCTTGTACAGGGTGACCCTCAATGTATTTTATGCAAAGTAACTAAATGTCTTTACGTATTACTCTTAGATAATACTATTGTGTAACCTTTCCGAATATCAAATGACGCTTTCTTCTCTTTCTTACGAAGTAATTCTATCTCATTATTGATTCTTGGCGCTGATATCCTGCCAGCAAGGGAAATAATGTCTGATAGTTACAATTAGCTCGAATTTCAACCATTTAAGAAGATTCAGTTGTAAATCGCGGGGTGGGTGGGTGTTAAATAATTTGCTCTTAAATCGAAATCCTAGACCCACAAGTGGACCACCGCTACAGTCATCGGGTGACGCGAAGAGACACATTCGCTAGACACATAAGAATGAACAAATTTAGGGGAATTAATTGTATACGTTGGCAGTGAAACTTTAGTACAACAACAGCATTTCCTTCTCTTTTATCTTTTTCTTCTCTTATTTGGACAATATCTTGATTGTTTCATTTCTATTAATTTCACAATATACCGATGAAAGACTATTCTTTCAAGACAAGCATACATAATTGTTGTAGCATACCTACGGACGATATTGGGTATGTCTCCATTTACATAAATACATAAATACTGTATATTGGTCTGCAGCCGGAGATTCATCTCCAGCTGAGGGTGGTCAAACTCTTTTCCTCCGGGTAGAGAGGATCTCCAGACGAAGGTATGTCGGAGGGCAGAATCTCGTCTCGGGAAACAGCTACCTGAGCCCGTTTTATACGAGGTCAACGGGGAATTTTGGGCCGAACCAACAGGCTCGGATACCCCTCAATAAATTAGGCCTTGTGCTACATCTGACCGCGTGAGGCGGTTGGTAGATATCCTGCAGTTCAAAATCCATTGTGGAATTCACTTGACTCACCTCTAGCACTTAACTACTTCTACGCGCCGCTAGAGAATCTTATATGTGTTGTTCTTGTCCTACGTATTATCCTTCATTACCAACCTTCGTGTGATTATTCTATTCAGTAACCTTCCCTAGGTTACAATAATAATTTTACGAGGGGTTGCTGAAAGGTTTTTCGGCCGAAATGTTTGAAAATTTTGTTAGAAACAAAGAAAAGTGGGGAACTGCTATGTAATATCAATACTCCTGTACGGCGATGGATTCTGGAAAATTTTCTCTTAGATGAAGAGGAGTATTGAAACAGGAAGGATGTGGTTCACCAAAAGGATACTGAGGATACCATTGACGAAAAATGTGAGCAATGAGGATGTTTTAAGGAAAGTGAAAACAAAAAGGAAACTTATACGCAGAACCAGAAAGAGGCAGATGAAAATATAACACCTAAAACTGCGTGATTTACTAAATTATCATACATAAAATATTATATTATTCACAGACTATTGTCCTCATCTTTGTCGCCACATTTATCACAGGTGATTGGAATTTCGAACTGAACCCTTTATTTCGCTCACTGGGGTAGACTGTTCTAGTTCCACGTGCCATGTTTTGATGGATATCAGTTATCTCCTGCTAATTTCCCCCTGAAAGTTCTCCATTGTCTTAACCGGGTATTGAACGCACACTCTTTATGTCCTGTCACTGGATCTAACCAACGCCTTTATCCACTGTGCCATGTGTCCTTGAGAACATCTGGGTATGAATTTCTGGGTATTATAAACCTAAAAAATAAATATTATTTTCTGAAGTTTTAAGTATGAAGATTTCATCTAAATGTTTTAGGAACAGCTGCAGTACAAGGTGTGATGGAGAAATTGCTGCCATTTTATATTTTTAATTTCGCGCATGCGCTTTGTTTGTTTTTGACTTTGTCGCCTGCGCAGTATAGTAGGGTCAGTTGGGCACCGTCTTTGAGAAAAAGAGTACCATGACGAAATTCGTAACGCAAGAAATTTGGAAACAGCATGCTGTACTGCTTGGCATTCGCGCTGGAAACTCCATTATAAACATTTCAGAGTATTTGGGCATCAAATGGTCCGGAAAAAGTTGGTTTAGTTTAATGGTAATTAAGAATGTATGGAAGCTCAGAAAACTAGCTCTGTTCGTTCTGATAAGAAAAGAACTCCTAAATTTGTTGGTGAAGGCCTTAGACTCAACACAGAGGCCTACCTCAACTGCCTTGAGGATGTAGTACTGTCCGGGTTCAAGAGAGCGGCTGCTGGAAGTCCCTATGTGTACCAACAGGACTTTGCATTATGCCACAAAAGCAAGAGAACCAAGAAACAATCAAAACTCCTTGTAATATCAAAGAAGAACTGAACGCAAGGATTATGGCAGCATTCACCAACTTAAACAAGGAGAGATCCAGAAGATTCCCAAATAGCCTGGATACCGTGGTTGAAGCCAATTGCGATTTTATTGAATAAATGTACTCTTTTTCAAGATAACTTTGTGTAATTTTGGTAAATATATCTGTTAAAATGAGATGTGTTATTTTCATTTTTGCGGAATTTAGACGACAATTTATCCATCGCACCTTTTATACGGTAATTGTAATAATCATGGAATTCTTTGACCGACCGAGCAGTCTGTACCATTCTCAGTTGAAATTCACAAAATCCATCTATTAAAACAGGAAAAGCGGTTTTTCAATTCAACTGTTATCACCCTTTCCAGTATCGATGGAGGCTTCCTTCCAAAATTTTTATTTGAAGTAGTCGGTAATGTCACCATATTGATTATGCCATAAATTGTCTCTTCGAGTCACATGTATCCTTCATTTTGGTTGATGTTGTTGTTGAAAGTCCTCGGGTGATGTGGTCTTTGTTATTTTGTACAGTTAATTGTGATTCTGTTTCACAAGTCGACGAGGTTCGAAGAAGGATGCTCCTTACCAAGACCACAGCATTCTTTCATTCGAAGCTATTTTTAACCTTTAACGTGGTAAAGCAGTTGCATAGAGCTGACAGTTTATTTCTGAACGGCTCTGAGGCCATGCATGGCAGCGATATGGAAGTCTTAATCTGACGAGACTATTTAAGTACATGAGTCGGGATCTTAAGTTCATGTTTTGGTTTTACAACAATTTGCAGAGTTGAACGAAATAACTCCTACAGCAGCCTATTTTATTTTCAGATTCCTTATCTCCTATATTAAAATTCTTGTAACTGATCCATACACCCAGTTATTTGAAGTATTTAGTATTTACTAATTTGACATCCAGAATTTTTATCATGTATCCAGAGTACTTTCCTTCATTCCAATTCCAAATCACAACTTCTTTTCTGGAAAAGGTTTATCATGAGTCCTTCATGTAACAATTTATTTTAATAATTTCACTCCAAGCGAGGCCATCATGCTGCTACGATGAAAGAGGTTACTGGGAGTGGGAGGGAATTAAAAGACTTTAGTGAAGAGAAAGGACAATAAAAGAACGTTTAGACCGAAGATGGCGATTGACGTTGCATTTAAATTTTTGAAGATAGTAAGTAGCAAGTAAGCAAGAAACCGGAAAAAGAGTTCAACTGGTGAGAATTGCGAGAAAATAAAATATTAGTATATAACTTACTGTTATATCTAGCTAGTTCAACAGTAAAGCGATACGACCTAATTGCTAATCTAGTCGAGGTACCAATAAAAAGAGAGCTCATTAGAACCAATATTTCTAGAAAAGACAGCGGGAAGCTTCGTCACGGTGGTTGAAAACTATCAGAAGTCGAGATGCCAGGTCAGGACCGATAACATTACAGACCCTTTTGGATTTTGTTGAGAAGCTCGAGATATATAGCAGGAAAGTCAGACAAAATATGACAGCGATATTCGATGCACGAACGAAGGGTAAGTTTATAAATGTGCAAGATGCATTCTGACGAGAAAAATTGTCCGCCATGATACTTCTTAGAGGATATTGCTTTTTTTTTGTTCAATATCATTCTCATCTCAGCTAAGACTATCTATGTCATCAGCATAGCACCACCTCCTCATCAGTACATTACCCTTTATCACGTTAAAGGCCAAAAATAGCTTCGAGCGAAAGAACGCTGTAGGTCTTGGCAAGGAGCATCCTTCTTCGAACCTCGTCGACTGGTGCAACAGAATCACAATGAACTGTACAAAATAACAAAGACTGTTGTTTTTTATTAGTGCTGTAGAAATTATACAAGATATCACTATAATGTGATGAATGTTGTTTTGTGGTATCTTTTTACTCAAATAGATTCCGTTTTAAAAAACGAATTCTGTGTCACATACATTCATACATCTAGTAAAAATAAATAATTAGAAGGAGTAAATATTTACGTGTACTTTTGCCGGAACAATATTTTTCAAAATGTCATGTCCTTTCAGAACGCAGGTGGCCATGTCTTTTCACAGATTCCTTTTCTTTATGAGCTGTAAATTTCCATGATTTTTGGGTTGAATTAGTTTTCATTGTTTTCAATTCTTCCTTTTAGATTTGCTGCCATCCAAGACTAGAGAGCCTATTCTACCCTGCTATTTAATACATAACTAGTGCGAAGGTAGAAGAGATGGATTCTTGCCTTTTCCAAGAGCATTTCTACGGAATTGAACGCAGCAGACGAGGCGGGAATTTGAACTCGGCTCGCCGGCACCACTTTCGTGCAGATAGCCGTTAAGACATTCGTACTTGGAAGTGCCCAGTCTAATCTGCTATTTAATCCGTACATTAATCTCTCCCTCAATTTCTGATGTTTGGTCAGATTTTGGGAAGTGGTCGGGCTGAGAACTTTTCAGCATCAGTTCGTAAACATTCAGTCACATTGCTTTAAGAGAAATTACTTTAATGCAAATAAATTTAGCAGGTTTGATTGAACACACAGAAAAATATATTTCCGTAACCAATTTCCTGGCATCCGCTGCGCCGATTGAACGTTGGACGCTTGGGCGTGGTATAATAGTTAGCAAGCTTGTGTCGCTAGACCAATTACGACTGAGTAGTGAGTTCGATCCTCGCCGGGTGCTCCTTAATCTCGGGCTTGTTCCACAACTAATCTATGCTGAGTAAATCACTATTCCCAGAAGAAACGTGGTAGGTAGACTCTGCCGAACGTTACATTTGGTTCTAATTTTCTATTTTCTGTCAACAATTCATAAAGGATACCGTCCGAGTACCGAAGTTAAGCAACGTCGAACCTGTTCAGTAAGTAGATGGGTGACCGTTTGGGAATACTAGACGCTGTAAGTTTGATGTGCGGGTGTTGTAATGGATAATGTCTTGAAATTGTTAATCAGTGAGTAGAGTTCCAATTCCGGTTGGGTTCGTTATATTCACGTGGGAAATGTATGCGTCCACCTTTTCTCTCTCTCCGGCTATCGGTGAATTAGTAAATTAGTATCATCATTATCTTTAAAAAAAACAAAAAACTCTTATAATATAAAAATATTTTCTGGCTTTAAATAACCAGCAAAGGTTGATAAGCTGTAAATAATGAATTAATCAATCTTAAAGCGTATACAGATACATCTAAGATTTCTCTAATATTAGCGCAACAAATATTTCGAACAATTTTTTTTAACTTCCGCCAAAAGTTTTCTTTAATGAAACCTACAGTTTCATTATCTGAAATGGCGATCTTTCCAGTAATTGCTAGCCTCCTCAGACTTCGGCCTTAGTTATGACATCAGAATATTATCTAACTTTTCTTTTTTTTCTCTTTTCTTTTTAATGTTGTGCGAAATTTCTAGTGACCTTTCTTGCATGCCTTGTCTAATAAGTATTACGAAATATGCACCTTGAAATCAGGGCTTCCTGTTAGCTTCTCTCGAGACCTTCAAGCAACCATTACGTTCCTGTATTTGCAAATTTCACCTCGCCCCGACCCCGAAACACGAACAAATACATAAATCTAAACGCAGGCCTCGATTTTTTTTTATCACACACAAACACAGGCGCACACAGAGGCAGTCATGAATATATATCGGCAGATAAAATTATATGTGTGGAATACATAAAAAATAATGCAGCTATTTTACGCTTATAATAAGTAGAAGTATCAGAGGAGGAGGATATTTAGACCATAGGCAGATATAATGAACCTCGGCAGAAGTGTTGATCTATGCGTAAATTATACCATGCTAACATATGTCTAGATCTTTCCCTCCCACTCCCACTCTCTCTCTCTCTCTCTCTTATATATATATATATATATATATATATATATATATATATATATATATATTGGAGGGTCATGAATTTCAATTCAAAGATGGATCAAAATTCAAAATAAAAAATGATTTCTCGTGCGACTCTGAGAATTTAATATACATAATTCAATGCAAATGTTGCCACGAGCTTTACATTGGCCAAACCGTTCAGTCACCCCGACAATGGATGACAGTTTATCGCCAACAAATTAGGGACCACCACAACAGAAAAAATACCCCTTAGCCAACACATAGAGTTATGCCGTGAACAAAATCTGCTAAATTTTAGTGTCTTCCAATTCTACCAGTGCGACTACAGAACCACTGAACAAAGGCGGATTAATAAGGAAATATTTTTCATCAACAAGTTCAAACCCATACTTAATTCATCGCATAAATAGATCCTACCAAATTCTCCTTATCATAAACGACATATATAGCGAGTTACGCCCCTTGATTTTCATTTTTTTTCATTTGTTCAACACATAAGCATCAACACGTGGAGATAGAAACAGTTAAAAATTTTTTGAAAAGCTAAGCGAAACCGGTTAAAGTGAAAAAAGTATAAAAAAAGGAAAACAACAAATTATTTTTCTAAGGAACAAAAACTGAAAATCCAGTTGTAAGTAATAAAGTTTTAATTCTTCCCTGTAAAAATCCACATATTATAAAAAAATATCACTATATTAAATATATATAAGTTTTTGTACAGATTCATTCCAACAATTTTTTTAACTATATATATATATATATATATGTATGTGTGTGTGTGTGTGAGTTAATTTCTATTATTTATGCTCTGTAAATTTACATTAAGCAGTTTTGCAAAAATAATAAAAAATATATATAAATATATCAATAAGAACACCAAATTATATATCTTACTATTCTTTTTTTTTAGTATAGTGTATATATATATATATATATATATATATATATATATATATATATATATATATATATATAGTTTTAATGCATGCTATATTTATGGGTTAAAATGCTCAGTATACCATATATATATATATATATATATATATATATATATATATATGGTTTAATGGGAAAAATTATGCCATTTTTAGATTTGTCATAGTGTACAGGTGTACTGTTTGGCATTCACGCGGCAAGCTCAATACAAACATTTCAGATTGTTTGATTGTCAATCTTAGGATAGTGTAGAGGATTCGAAAAGAGTTGGTTTTTGGAGTGATCACTGGTGATTACGAAGTTATGGTCGCTCGGAAAATTCGTTCTGATCGTTCTGATAATAAAAGAACTCCCCAATCTGTTGGTACGGACTTCAGACTCAACACTGAGCCCTCTCATCAACTGCCTTGAGCAGGTCGTACTGCCTTGGGTGAAGAATGAGGCTGCTGGAAAACTCTATGTCTGGCAACAGGACTCTGCACCATGGCACACAAGGTGGAGAATCTAGTCATGGATTGTCAGACAATTTCTTCCACCACATCACATCCCCGCTTACATCTGCACACCTAACTCCCCAGACTGCAACCTCCTTGATTATTATGTGTGGGGCACTGCTGAGCAATAGACCAACAAAAATCCTTGTAATATCAAAGATGAACTGAAGGCAAGGATGATGACAGCATTCACCAAGTTAAACAAGGAGATATATTATATAGGTCGATATATGTACATGGATATAGGGTGATATATCTATATAGCTTAATATGTGTCCGTGTCTATGATGATGTATTCTCCCGTCGATTTCGACGTATGAGCATCTGACAAGCTCATTCAGTTTTTGTTTGTGTTATATGTGACACTTCAGTCCCGCTAGTGACCTGCATACAAGTCCACATATTGTGCAACAGTGAGGACCTCGGAACATTGCAACAGGAATATTTGCTGGCACTTTTCACTGTTGCCTTTCGTCTCTTAGCCGTTGAATACGACTGATTTCAAAATTTCTGATACTATTCCGACATAAATATTTCCAGTTATTTTTATCTAGGAAACTCGCTCGAAGTTAGTAGGAGGCACATTGACAGCTGGGATGTTACTCTTTAGCTTGTCTTTGTAACTGAGCCACGACCGTCCAGCACTCATTTGTCCACTGTGAAGCTGGCTATACATGAAGACCTTAGGTATTATGTCGTCTCTTATCCTTGCAACATATCCAGCCAAGTGAAGTTGTGACTGCATCAGGAAAATCTCAATTCTACCAATGTAGCATTTTGCAAGAACATCAGAATTGGACACTATCGTTAAAAGTATAGCCACAGACAACATTTGTGGAAGACATCCAGCTGATTGATATAGGACCTATATAGGGTCCACAATTCTGAGCATACATGTATATGGATGATATTATATGTATATAGGTTAATATATATACATACATATTGATATTATATGCATTCATATAGAGAGAGTGAAATTAAATGTAGTAATATAAAAATAAATAAGTAAAAAGAATATTTTTATTGGTTGTTAAAATTAAATCTGCTGCGTCTTTAACGAAACTATAACGTGGTAAGAATTTCAGTTTTGAAATTTATGATAGCATTTTGTCCAATGAGTACAAAATGAGATCTGATAATAATTTCAATCGAACATTGAAATTCTGGAGTCGGTCCATTGAATATTTATTGATTTATTGAATGTATATGTAGTGTTGAATAAAATGAAGTTACAAAATAATTAGACGTAGTTACCTAATAACGTGTCGCTATTGCTTTTCCTGGTTAAAGTGTTACTCGAGTCTTTGCATGAGTCTATCTATCCCGGCATATTCTACGGGTGTCTTTACCGTTACGTTTGTTTGATTTAGCTGCAGAGATGAGGGTGTGCAATAGAGTTCACGAAAGTCAGTCGCGTGTGACAGCAACCAAATATGTGTCACCTGCACACAATGGGTGACTCGTTATCTTGTCGGAACGAACAATCACTGCCAGGAAATATGGCTTTTATAAAGCGATTCAAATTTTCTGTAACAAGATCTGTTTATTTCACACCTGTCAAGACAGATTCCATGCTAATCGCGAACACACTGTACACAATTTTGCAGAACACTCTGCTGTCTTCTCCACACACGAACTCGACTGTCTTCCACCAAACACCAAACGTGATTCATTTGATCAGTTAACAAGACGCCAATCTACTATGGTCAAACACTGGTTCCCGTACAAACACCGAATTTAAGCAACATCGAGCCTGGTGAGTACGTAAATGGGTGACTGCTTGGAAATACCAGGTATTGCAAGCTCAGATGTGCGGGTGGTGTAATGGATAATGGAAAATCAGAGAGCTGATTTTCAATTCCAGTCGGTGTCGTTATATTCACATACGTTCAAATACCCCTGGGAAAGGTATAAATTCACCTTTTCTCCCTACAGCTATGGGGTTTATTATTAGGACTTGTATCAGTAAATCATTATTATCTCCAGAGATTTCTTACTGTCTAAACATATTTTCTAACTTGCAAAAGGTTGATATACCGTAAAAAAACAAATCAATCGATCAATCTATGGTTCAATGGCGATGATTTCTGATTCAGGTGAATTGCAGTAAATAATGTCATCGTGTCAATAATGGTATCTTCGTTGGTCGACGACTTAGAAACTTTACGGACAGTGCGTTGACTAATGTCTTGAGCGGCACTAACATTGAATTTTGATTATTTATGTAATATTTCTTTCTTCTTTTCTCTGCTGTCAAACCAATCCGTAAATATAACTTCTCGTTCGATCATCAAATTTAACCAGTGTCGAGACCGGTCAGCACATAATTGGCGGTCCTCTGAGGAACACAGGGTACTGTAAGTAATATTGTACAATTCAAAATATGTTTCGGCCTGAAACCTTCCACACAGGATTGCTAAACCGTAAAAAATTAATCTTCAATTTCCACCTACGGTTCATATTGTCAGTTATATATATATATATATACACCGCCATTGCAGTATCTGTCTATATTTCTGAGATGAGGTATTATGTACACTATTTACATTATTCGGACTATTGTCTTCATATTTGTCGCCATATTTATCACAACCACCTGAAGAAGACCGGAGCGTACCACGGCTGAAACGTTGTGATAAATATGATGAGGACAATAGTCCGAATAATGTAAATAGTGTACCGCCATTACAGTTTTTTAAAATTTCCTACTAATTCTTACCTTTGAAGAGCTCATTTTACAACAGCGCTCTTTCGTGTGTGTGTGTGTGTGTGTGTGTGTGTGTGTGTGTGTGTGTGTGTCCAGGAAGTTCTAAGTAACCTCTGACTCTTTATCATCTCTTTCTCTCTGCTTTGTCACCCCCATTCACATAAACTCGTTAGGTAGGTTACCTACTATCTGTCTATATTTATGAGATGAAGTATTGTAACTATTTACACAGTTCGGACTGTTTTTCTTATCTTTATTGTCATATTCACGACGTTTCGGCCGTTGTACGCTCCGGCCTTCTTCAGGATCTGTCTATATTTCTATCATAAGGTATTGTAACTATTTATACTATTTACATTGTTCGGACTGTTCTCCTCACCTTTATTGTCATATTCACGGCGTTTCGGCCGTTGTACGCTCCGGCATTCTTCAGGGTCTGTCTATATTTCTGAGATGATCTATTGTAACTATTTACACTGTTTACATTGTTTGGACTTGAGTCCTCATCTCTGTTGTCATATTCCCGGCGTTTCGGCCGCTCCAGCATTCGTCAGAATCTATCTATATTTCTGTCATAAGGTATTGTAACTACTTGCATTGTTCGGGCTGTTATCCTCATCTTTGTTGTCACATCACGACGTTCCGGCCTTTGTACGCTCCGGCGTTCTTCAGAAGGCCAGAAGAAAGCAGTAAGTAACCTAATTACAGTATTTACATTGTTCGGAACTGTTTTCTTCGTCTTTGTTGTCATATTTACTACGTTTCGACCGTTGTATGCTCCGGCCTTTTTCTTCCTTCTGCTCTAAGTACGCCCTGTAAGTGTTAAATTCTCTATGCCTTATTATTTGACACTTGACATTATTTAAAAAAAAAAAAAAAAAAAAAAACCCCACCGCTTTTCGTTCGATCACCAAATTTAGCCAGTGTTGCACCCGGTCAGTACATAAGTTGGGGGACCACTTGGTAACATCGGGTGCGGTAAGCAACTTTCTACAATCTGAAATAAGTTTCGGATTCAAATAACTCACAAAGAGTTGATAAACTATATAAAAAAAAAACAATTCCTTCTTTCTCTATTTTATTTTTTGTTTTGCAAGCACTATTCTTTCATGGTCTTTCTGTGGTAACTGAAATCCTTGTTTCGCCAAACGCCCAACGCCTTGGGCAAAATTTCTGAGATTCAAAATGTCACGTGTTATTCGATAAGTATTAAGACTGATGAAAGAAGAGCCAGTTTTAATTAACAAATTTGGAAAGATTTGATTCGAACTTGAAACCAGCGAAGGGCGACGTATTTGGGTGTCGTTCTAATAGTAATCTCACCTTTTTGACATTTTTTTTTTGTCTCGAGTTCGCGATATTGTTTAAACGGAAAATAAATCTGCTAAGTCAACAATAAATACTATTTTTTAATGTCATGTTCCTTCAGGACGTAGGTGATCATACCTCTCCAAAACTTTCTTCAGAACGTTGAGTGTTTATCATCGTTGTCAGTCTCGTTCTTGTATCGCCTGTAGGCGCTCACATTTTTGCACCTATCGCTGGTATATGTCGAGAATTTACATATTCTTTGTCGACATTTACGAAATATGTACACCTTGATTATTGTCCTCATTTTAATCGTTGTTATCACATCTTTTCACTCCGATATGTGTAGCATGCCAAGAGCCATTCACCATAAAAAAAACACATATTGCCAAACTGCAGCAATTTTAATTCATCTCCCTTAAAATACTACCAAACAAGAAACTTGAAGTAACTTTTTCAAAATATGATTCGTTTCCATATTCCAGTTTCCATAAGAAAAAAAATATAATGGACAAAAAAAACAAAAAAAACAATAGCAGTTTTACTATTTAAAGTATATTTTTTAGACTGTTTAGTTTTTTTTTAAGCATTTCACCCCAAACAAGGCAGGAGTGCCACTAGTGCGCAAGCGGTTACAGAGAGTGAAGGTAAGAGAAAAAACTGGGTAGAGGGTGGAGATTGGGGAAAGGATATAAAGAAGAACGAGGATCAAGGCATCAGAAGATGACGATTGACGTTACATTTAAATTTTTGAAGATTATAGTTATTAGGGAAGCAAGTAAGAGGAAGGGAGTTCCACTGTTGGGAAGTGCAAGAGAAAAAGCTGTTGGAGTATAAGAGATGGTTACATGTAACTGCTTCAAGAGTAAAAGGGTGCTACCAAGATGCCAACCTACTATCACGTTTAAATTCATGCAATCGGGACACCAGGCAAAATAGCTCGTCAGAGCAGTTGCCATGAAAATCAAGACTTTATTTAAAAAACATTAAACTTCGGCATTAAATGACCCAATGGTTTGATATGCCATAGACCAAACCAAACTAAACCAAATCAAACCACCGTTATACCTGCTGTGACAATAGCGTAGTGGATAAAATCGTGGGTTCGTGAATTCTGACTTAATCCGTCCTGGGTTTGACGGTAACTGCGTCCTGGGTAAGACGATAAACTACATTCAACAGCGAGACCTTTGACCAAGAAGTTCTGAGGAGCGTGGAACCACCTCTTAATTGCTGGTGTTTCCAGGTCCACCCTGACCCGGGGTGGCAGCACCATCTATGGGCAAATAGTTAACTCCCGATATGGGGTCAAAGCACTATGAAAATATAAAAATATGTTTTAATACCAGCAATACTGTTTTTTGAAAGATTATTACCAGCAATACATTTTTAAGAAAAAATTATTTTCTGCAATACATTTTTGAAAAAAAATATTACCAACAATACTTTTTTGAAAAAAAATATTACCATCAATAAAAATATTGTTGGCATTAAATAACCCATTGAGGTTGATATGCAGTAAAACAAACCAAACCAAAAGCTGACTTAGTGGAAACAGGGTGAGCAATAACTGAGCAGTACTAAATAAGAGAGAGAGAGAGAGAGAGAGAGAGAGAGAGAGAGATATCATCAGACAGAAGATTAAACAACGGGTTCAATTCGAAGCTTACCCGAATCGACAAGCACCTGATGAAGACGGGACACACTGTTATAATGATAGCAAAGATGAAGATAATAGTTCCCATATAGTTCAGTTATGTCACATACGCGATACATGCTTAGGTGGACATGTATCTTTCGATACATGACTGACGAGGCAGTTTTCCCGCAGTAGGTTGCCATTTCTTTCTGCGGTAGACCAATTGCTTTATAAGGCTAGAGAACCCGGTCTGTCCTGCTATTTACCCATAGCTGGGGGCGGGGAGAAGAGGATTCATGCCTTCCCCAAAGGTATTTGCATGTAAGTGAATGTAATGGATTCGACTGGAATTAGGAACTCGGCTATCCGATTCCTCAATCTAAGCTGCTATCCATTACTCCACCATGCCTCCTATGAATAATCTTAATAATGACAAATCCTCAAACAGAAGTAAAATCGTGATAATGAGTAACATCCTTCCTAACAGTTATTACACGCACAAACGGTGTCGAATCCTGTCCGACTTCCATGGATGCCACAGCTTCACTACCTCTCTACATATTAATTCATACGCCTCCATGTTGAAGACATTCCTAAAAGTGGAAATGGGTAAAGCCCATCCAGTCTATTTTCTTGGCACTTCATTTTATATCCGACGATATAGACCAACACTGGTCAATATGGAATCTCACGCCCACCCATGTTTTCTCTTTCAAACTCACGCATTTTTACGCAATCACATATGCCTATCTTAATTTCTAAGTGTGTAACTGCTTCCTTTCTTGTGTTCTCACGCCTCTTCTGGGAAATATTTCCAGCGAATTCCTCTTGTAATGACAGTGAACTGTTCTCAATTGTAGAACTTTGCCTTGGTGCCTTTTTCTGCTTGGCTTTCTTTTTTGTTTTCCTCTTTATTTAGAAACTTTTTCGTTCAATCATTTTTTTTCTCTCGCTAATTCTGTCCCACCCCTTTTTTATAACTTTAATTCATTTTTCCAGTTTTTACTTTTCGTTTTTATTTCCATTGATTAATTCTTGCTTTCTGTCAGTTCTTTCTGGTATTTTTCTTCTTCGTCTTTATTCTGTGCTTCGGCCATTTTTTCGCCCTTTTAATTTATATTCTAATCTTTCTTTCTTCCATTTTTTTATGCTGTCTTCTTTCCTTTTTCTTTCTTTCAGTTTCTCTTATTTCATATCCTTTCTTTCTTTCGTTTATTTATTTCTCTTTCCTTCATATTTTACATTAATTCACTCTTATTTCGTTTTCTTTCTTTTTTCTTTGTGTTTCTTTCTTATTTTGCATACTTTCTTTCTTTCTTTCTTTCTTATTTCGTTTACTTTCTTTCTTTCTTTCTTTCTTTCTTATTTCGTTTACTTTCTTTCTTTCTTTCTTATTTCGTTTACTTTCTTTCTTTCTTATTTCGTTTTCTTTCTTATTTCGTTTTCTTTCTTTCTTTCTTTCTTTCTTATTTCGTTTACTTTCTTTCTTTCTTTCTTTCTTATTTCGTTTACTTTCTTTCTTTCTTTCTTTCTTTCTTTCTTATTTCGTTTACTTTCTTTCTTTCTTATTTCGTTTACTTTCTTTCTTTCTTTCTTATTTCGTTTACTTTCTTTCTTTCTTTCTTTCTTTCTTATTTCGTTTACTTTCTTTCTTTCTTTCTTTCTTTCTTTCTTTCTTTCTTTCTTTCTTCTACCACTTATTTTATTCTCCGATATTTTTATCTTGTTTCTTTAGTTTCCATTTTACTTCCTTTTTCCTTTGTTTTTCCCTCATTTCGTTTCGTTTTTTTTTTCGTTCGTTCTTTCTTTCATAGTTGCAGCTTCTTCTTTAGTCTATTTCTTTTTATATATTTCTCTTTTTCTTCTTCATTACTACCTTTTTTCTGTCAGTACTTTTACTAAAGTCCGCATTTTTTCTTTATTTTCAATCTTTCTTTTTTCTTTCTTTTACTTTGCATTTTGTCTTTTTTTCCTTTCAGTTTTTTTTTTTCCTTTTAGTTTACTTTTTCTCATGTCCTTTTTTCTTCCGTCATTTATACCATCTTCTTTAACTTTTCTTTCTTTCAGTCTTTCTTATTTTATATCCTTTTCTTTATTTCTTTCAGTCTTATTTTTATTTTCTTCTTTCTTACTTTCTTATTTTGCATCCTTTTATTCTTATTTTTCTTTCTTTCCTTCTTTCTTTTTCTTTCTTTTTTTTTACTTTGTATCTTTTCATTCTTATTTTTCTTTCTTTCTTTCTTTCTTTCTTTCTTTCACACTTTCTTTTTCCTTTCCTTCTTAATTTGCATCCTTTCATTCTTATTTTCTTTATTTCTTTTTTGTGTAGTTTCATTCTTATTTCGTTTTTTTCTTTCTTTTTTCTTTCTTTCTTTTTTCTTTCTTTCTTTCTTTCTTTCTTTGTGTGCTTCTGTCTTATTTTACGTCCTTCATTCTTATTTCGTTTCTTTCTTTCTTTTTTCTTTCTTATCTCGTTTACTTTCTTTCTTTCTTTCTTTCTTTCTTTCTTCTTTTCTTCCACTTATTTTATTCTCTCATATTTTTGTCATATTTCTTTATTTTTCATTTAACATCGTTTTTCCATTGTTTTTCCCGCATTTCGTTTCGTTTTTTCTTCCATTCTTTTTTTTTTTTATATTTTTACTTTTTTCTTTCTTTCTCTCTTTCTTTCTTCTTCATTGCTGTCTTTCTTTTTACCAGTCCTTTTCATTTTACTATATTTTGTCTTTTTTCTTTATTTTATTTCTTTCTTTCTTACTTTCTTTCTTTCTTTCTTTCTTTCTTTCTTTCACTTTTCATTTCGTCTTTTTTTACCTTTCATTTTTTTTTATTTTGTTTACTTTTTTTCATCTCTTCTTGTAGTTTTTAGGAATTTTATTCTTTCCTTTGTTTCTGTTTCTTCTCTATTTATTCTCACTGCCAGTAATTTTCTTTCTACTATAATTTTTGTCTTTTTCTTTGTTTTATTTCTTTCCCTTTCGTCTTTCTTCTTTTTTCTGTCAGTATATTGCTTCTGCCTTTCTTTTTCTCGTGTTCTTTCTTTCTTTGCCTTGCTTTTCTTTCTCCTTCGCTTCTATTCTTTCTTTTTCGTCAGTACATTACTCTTGTCATTTGTTTTCTTTTTCTCATGTTTTTTTTCTCTCCCTTTCTCTTTCTTTCTTTCTTTTTTTCTTTCGTTCTTTCTTTCTTTCTTTTCTTTCTTTCTTTCTTTCTTTCTTTCTTTCTTTATTTCTTTCTGGCTGTCTCTTTTTCGTTTCTCTTGGCCCCCACCTATTTTTCTAGATAATTACTTCTATCTTCTTCCTTTCCATTTCTCTTCTTCTAGTAAGTTACCATCTTCTTTTTTCAATTTTTTTTCACGTTTTAATTTCCTTCTCTTCTTCCCAGGGTTTGTCCTCATCACTTTTGTAAACAATTACTCCTACCGACCACTCTGTTTCCTTTTCTACCTCTCTTCCCACTCATTCTAACACCCTTTCTCTCCTCTTCTCTCACTTCTCCAAACCAGCGCCATGCTTGGTACCAGCTCTTTAACCATCAAAAGTTGCATCAGCATTACCCACTTGCTCTGCGCCAATGATGTACGCGGTGACTTGACCTCCTTAAACATATGGACTTTTTTTTTTCGCCATTATTTTGTCTTTTAGTGACACAAGTTTCTGAAACACGTGACACGGTCCAGGCCGGTTCCTACGCATGCTCAGATACTGGGATTTTTTTTTCCAATTTAATATTTAAAATGAAAAGAATTGGACATAATTTTTTTACAATGAAAACTAGATCGTTGCTAATTATTTTACCATACTTCTTTTATGCGTAGCTTCAGGACGTTGGCGATCATGGCTCTCCATAATTTACTGTCCTTTGTAGCTTAATAAATTTTATCTTTTTTTTTTTTTTATCCCTCCTAAATCTTATTCCAACATCTATTTACTTATGCTTGCTAGGGAGGTTATTCATCTTTTCCCTCTGTCTCTCTTGTCTTTGATCTGTACTGTAAGTATCAAAATTTCCAAGCCCTTTTTTCTGATTATGTACCCTAAAAATGTCAGCTGTTTCTCCCTGATGTTAAATATATGATTCCTTTTCATTACCAGTTCCTCTAAAACTTGGTTGTTGCTAACATGTTCAGAGAATGAGAAGAAGAAGAACTGAGAAAAGAAGGATGAAGAAAGACAATATAAAAAGGTTGAGCAGAAAAGGAGAACAAGGAGAAAAAGAAAAGGATGAGAAAGAGAAGGAATGAGAAACGAAGAATGATAAGAATAAGAAGAAAGAATGAGCGGAAGGGAAAGAAAAATGAAAATGGAGGCCGATGAGAGAAGAAAAATAAGAATAAGAGAATGAACGAAAGGAAACAAGCAAGGAAGGAAGGAAAGAAGGAAGGAAGGAAGGAATGAAGGAAAGAAAGAAAGAAAGAAAGAAAGAAAGAAAGAAAGAAAGAAAGAAAGAAAAGAAACGAAAAGAAACGAAAAGAAAGAAAAAAGATAAGAAAGAAAGGAAAAGAAAAGAAAAGAAAGGAAAGAAAGAAAGAAAGAAAAGAAAAGAAAGAAAAGAAACGAAAAGAAAGAAAGAAAGAAAAGAAAAGAAAAGAAAGGAAAGGAAAGAAAGAAACGAAAAGAAAGAAAAAAGAAAAGAAAGAAAGAAAAGAAAAGAAAAGAAAAGAAAGAAAGAAATATTAGTAAAAGAATCGTAAGAAAAAAATGTTTGTTTTAATATTCGTTAAATTAGTTCCAATAAGTTTCTCACGGAAAAAAACAGTCGACGATTTTCAATTGTAGCATTGTTTGCATCAGTTTCTGTATTCCCATTCGTCCAATATGAATAAAGTTCTCAAAGACGTTTCCTTTCCTAATTTACAATTCCTCAAAAAAGCCAAAAGAAAATAAATTATTCTTGAAGGGGCTTTCCCAAGGCATGTCCTTGAGTTCCCATTAATTTTACATGCGCAAAACTATAGTAAAAGTTTTATAACCACTATTGTTTCTGTGGAATATATGGTCGAGCCATGTGAGAAATTATCCGTGTAAATTTACACTCCTAAACAAACAGAGCTATTCACAGATACAGAACAAAATGCCTTGTATGTTAAAAATATAGTTTTAATGCATGCCATATATATTTGTAAAGGTGCTCAATATTAGGGATTAGCGTATTTAAATATAAAAGAGGACAATGAAGTCAAGACCGAACGGCGTCAGTTTAGTTCATGCTTAAACGCAATCTTCAGGCCATGGTGTTACAGTGCAAACACGGCCGCTCCGCTAGCGGTGTACACGAACAAAGAACAAAAACATGAATGTGTATATTTTATGCGTTTCTAGAGTGATGGGAATGTATTTTTTTTTAATTTTTCAAACACTGTCATCACATTGTGGCCGTGTTCATAGTTGATGTTATTGAGTGTTGACATTTTTTCTTTTTTATTATTAGGGCTTCCTTTATTTTTAATCTTTGTTTTACATATCGATGCGCTTATGTGCAGAAAAGAAATCACTCATACGAAGACAAGAAAAAAATGAATAAAAGCTTAATTGTATATATATATATATATATATATATATATATATATATATATATATATAAAAACTGTGTGATTCGTGCTTGCGTGGTGCGTTGTCCGTCTGACGCATAATGATTTAAGATTCTTTCCACCTCTCTCATTCCACCTCTCTCTCTCATTCCACCTCCCTCTCTTTCTACTTCGCTCTCTTTCCACCTCTATCTTTCCACCTCGCTTTCTTCCCACTTCGCTCTCTTCCCACTCTCTTTCTACCTCACTGTGATTGCGTGTGTGGTTGCGTGGTGCGTCCGTCCGGCGCATAATGTTTAAAGTTAATCTGACTTAAGTGAATAAGTTTTAAAAATGCGAGTTGTTTATACAGTAAGTATTTTTTATTATAACTTTCTTCAAATGAACAACTTTGTTAATTGAAATATTTTTAAGTTAAGAATAGATACAAAGAGGTCCCGCTTTGATGTTTCGTACAGTTGTCTGTATAGTAATTATTCATATTTCAGCTTTCTTTAAACAAACAATATTTTAAATATTTAAAAATATTTTAACTTAATCTGATTTAAAAAATTCAGCATTCTTCTAACAGACAATTTTTAATGTTGAAATCAACTTCAACGGGTCATGAGTAGTCTAGTATATATATATATATATATATATATATACATATATATATATATATATATATATATATATATATATATATATATATATATATATATATATATATATATATATATATATATATATATATATATATATATATATATATATATATATATATATATATATATATATATATATATATATATATATATATATATGCAAATATATGGACATAGATCCAACAGTATGAAGAAAAATATACGGAAAAAACAAACAAAAATTCTAATATGCAATTATGCTGTTTTAACATGAACGCTGATCTTGAAAAATTTCAGTTATCTGTTTTGATTAGTCTTACTCTTATGTCCATCGTCTTTTCATGTTGAATTAAATATAGTATAATGTTAATTATGTTTTATGAATATGTCCTGAAGATGGTCTACTAAACCGAAACGTCCGACGTTGATATTATATTAACATTAAAACAGCATAATTGCATATTAGGATTTTTGTTTGTTTTTTCCGTATATTTTTCTTCATATATATATATATATATATATATATATATATATATATATATATATATTTAGTTGGATAGATGTGAGTTTGTGACCTATATTTCACGCTTTAGCGATCGTCAGACAAACTCAAACTTGTCTGACGATCGCTAAAGCGTGAAACCCAGGGTCACAAGCTCACATCTATCCAACCAAATATGTTAGCTCTATCTCTGATATTGAGCGCTTTCTAGTAAGTACCGCGCATATAATATATAAATAATTATACATATATATATTTTATTTATATTTATATACACTTTTCACACACACACACACACACACACACACACACACACACACACACACACACACACACACACACACACACATATATATATATATATATATATATATATATATATATATATAATCCAATGCAATCAGAATCAGCAAGTCAATGCACCTGCTCATACATCACAGATTGCTCGAGTGACTTTTGGCAAAGAACGAGATTTTCCCCTTGCTCTATCCCCACCACTCTCTAGTTCTGACGCCCATAGACATTTTCTTTCTTTTTTCTGTCCGAAAAGAAGATTTCCTCTCTGAAAGGGCATCGATTTCATATAAGAGCGTGAAAAAACAAAACAAAATAAAAGTTTAAACTTCTAAATGTTTCTTTATTTCATGCATCGTGAAAAGCGTTTTATTTAGAGTACAACTTAATGTATAAGATATCTAACATTGATCATTCATGCACCGTGAAAAGCGTTTTATTTAGAGTACAACTTAATGTATAAGATATCTAACATTGATCATTCATGCACCGTGAAAAGCGTTTTATTTAGAGTACAACTTAATGTATAAGATATCTAACATTGATCATTCATGAACCGTGAAAAGCGTTTTATTTAGAGTACAACTTAATGTATGAGATATCTAACATTGATCATTCATGCACCGTGAAAAGCGTTTTATTTAGAGTACAACTTAATGTATGAGATATCTAACATTGATCATTCATGCACCGTGAAAAGCGTTTTATTTAGAGTACAACTTAATGTATAAGATATCTAACATTGATCATTCATGCATCGTGAAAATTTAGCGTTTTATTTAGAGTACAACAACTTAATGTATAAGATATCTAACATTGATCATTCATGCACCGTGAAAAGCGTTTTATTTAGAGTACAATTTAATGTATAAGATATCTAACATTGATCATTCATGCATCGTGAAAAGCGTTTTATTTAGAGTACAACAATGTATAAGATATCTAACATTGATCATTCATGAACCGTGAAAAGCGTTTTATTTAGAGTACAACTTAATGTATGAGATATCTAACATTGATCATTCATGCACCGTGAAAAGCGTTTTATTTTTAGTACAACTTAATGTATAAGATATCTAACATTGATCATTCATGCACCGTGAAAAGCGTTTTATTTAGAGTACAACTTAATTTTTATTTTAGTACAACCAATGTATAAGATATCTAACATTGATCATTCATGCACCGTGAAAAGCGTTTTATTTAGAGTACAACTTAATGTATGAGATATCTAACATTGATCATTCATGCACCGTGAAAAAGCGTTTTATTTAGAGTACAACTTAATGTATGAGATATCTAACATTGATCATTCATGCACCGTGAAAAGCGTTTTATTTAGAGTACAACTTAATGTATAAGATATCTAACATTGATCATTCATGCACCGTGAAAAGCGTTTTATTTAGAGTACAACAATGTATAAGATATCTAACATTGATCATTCATGCACCGTGAAAAGCGTTTTATTTAGAGTACAACTTAATGTATAAGATATCTAATATTGATCATTCATGCATCGTGAAAAGCGTTTTATTTAGAGTACAACTTAATGTATGAGATATCTAACATTGATCATTCATGCACCGTGAAAAGCGTTTTATTTAGAGTACAACTTAATGTATAAGATATCTAACATTGATCATTCATGCACCGTGAAAAGCGTTTTTATTTAGAGTACAACTTAATGTATAAGATATCTAACATTGATCATTCATGCACCGTGAAAAGCGTTTTATTTAGAGTACAACTTAATGTATAAGATATCTAACATTGATCATTCATGCACCGTGAAAAGCGTTTTATTTAGAGTACAATTTAATGTATAAGATATCTAACATTGATCATTCATGCACCGTGAAAAGCGTTTTATTTAGAGTACAACTTAATGTATAAGATATCTAACATTGATCTGAAGTGTTAACTAGTTCCGCTGCCCCACCCTCTATTGTAATTTCCCCTTCAAATTTAGATGGAAGAATTTACCAATTTACTTGTTTATATTTGAAGCAAAGTTTTCGTTTCACCCATGTTGTGATCTTCGGAAAGATTACTGAATAGAATAATCACTGGAAGGTTGGTAATGAAAGATAATACTTAGGACAAGAACAACATATATAAGATTTGCCAGCGGCGTGTAAAAGAAGTAGTCAACTGCTAGAAGTGAATCAAGTGAATTCCACAATGAACCTCCAACTGCAGGATATCTACCAACCGCCCCACGCGGTCAGATGTGGCACAAGGTCGAATTTAATGTGGGGTATCTGAGCCCGTACGTTCAGCCAAAAATTCCCCGTAGATCTCTTATAAAACGGGGTCGGGTAGTTCTTTCTTGAGACGAGACCCTGCCCTTCGACATAGCCTTGTCTGGGGATCTTCTCTTCCTGGAGGCAAAGACGAATTCCAAATGCAGACCAACATACAGTATTTACTACAGCATTTATGCGAATGGGGACATAACCATTATCGTCCATAGGTATACTACAACAACCCAATATAATGCACAAGAGCAACTCAAGGTAGAGAGTGTTATATGAGCGCAAGAAAAGACAAGAAAAAGCATGGTGCTATTCAGGAAATATAACGGTTAGCCCTAGACTTTGAAAGGTCAAGATATGTATAATGATTGGGAAAACACTCTGTTTCAGAAAGCAGAAGTTCTTGTGAAGAGACAGTCTGAATGAAATTTCCTCTTCTTTATCGTACCGTGTTCACCCAGGCGATCATGGCGCTCCACAATTTCCTGTCCTTTGTAGCTCTTAATGAATTTTGTCTTTTCGTTATTTCTCCTAAACCCTGTTCCGCCATCCACAGTCCGGGTTCGTCAAAAAACAAGGAACGCGGTATTTATGCTCAGAATATTATCAAAAAGAGCAATACAAATGTAGAAGGATGTGTACGTGTGTTTTAAATACATGACGCAAAGGCGTTCGATAAAATACACCACAAAGATCCGTTGGAACTGCTCATCAACCTTGACATATTTGGAAAGGATAATCAAGAACCTATACTGGCAACAAACTGCTTGCATACGAATAGAAAATGAGTTCAGCAGATACAAAAACAGAAAGTAGTGTAAGACAAGGATGTACCTTCTCACCGGACTTATTCAGTGTATACAGCTGAGTGGAACTTCTTTATTGAAATATAAAGGGAATGAGGATGATTTATCCTTATGCACGTAGTGCGGTTTGTCCCAGTCGTAAAGGTCACAGGTTGTGGGACTAAGGATTGTAGCTCGCCAGGACACGTCATGGAAATAGTGAGGGAGTAGTGACAGCTTCACGACGTTTTGTCTGTAGGAAAGGGATTGTAAGGTGGAAAATAATTCATCGCCTATAAGGCCACGTAGGCACTTTTGAACTCTATCAAGACAGGAAAGTGTTGTGTCATAAATAACAAAGGGTGACACACATATATAAAATAAGTAGTAGTCTATTCCGGAGAATAATATGGTCCACGGTTGAAAACACAAACTAATGTATTAAACATTTAATCGTTAACATCGCAGTATTTACCCGAGACCCCCCACCCCCCACCAAGACGGGATGTGGCCGGTTTTAAAGGTGGGGTTTTCCGAGCGCGTGCACTCGGGGAAAAATCCCCGTAGCACTCGCATACACGGGGTCAGGCAGCTGTCTACCTCCCCAGACGAGACTCAAGCATAACCTCGTCTGGCTTCCTCTTCGCCCGAAGGCAGAGAGTCGACAAGCCGTTGTAGCCCCTGTAGATTAAATAAAGGGTTCAGTTCAGAATTCAGTAGGTGATTCAGGTCGATATGCACATGAGAAAAGTCAGAGGTCACAACTATCGAAATGTTGGGATAACAACAACGATTGTAGAGTTCAATGGAAATGTGCAAGCATCTAGCACTCATTGGTCCCTAGCCCACTGAGTCAGTCTACTAATAAGATTCATATTATTAACTAATGTTCTGTGATTACAATTCTATTAACAAAGACCTTCAAAATACTTCTCCGTCCTGGGTATGACAATAAACTACATCCAGCAGCAAGGCCTCTGATCAGAAGGTTTTGAGGAGCGTGGTACCACCTCTTAATTGCTGTTGTTCCTAGGCTCACCCAGACTCGGAGTGGTAGCACCTATTAGGGTCCCAGCTACGGGCAAAGAGATGACCCCCAAACTAGGGTCAAAACACGATTAAAATACAAAAAATGTTATAGTAAAAATACCAGCAATACATTTTCATAATAAAAACAATTACCATTAATACATTTTTTGTTACTACTTATAGTGTAGTCACTCATGGGAGTGACGGGTTATTCAATTACATCATTTTTGTTAAATAAAATTACTAATGTTCCCAAGAGAATTAAATTTCGGCATTAAATGACTCATAAGGATGTTGATATGCCGTTAAAGAAACAAATCAAAATACTGCTAAAGATGTATAGCGGACAATCTGTGAAAACAGGTTTATGAGAGGAGCGCTTGTTTCAAGACCGGTCGAGTGTTTTTTCAGTTGAGATTTTTTATGTTGACTTCTAAATTTGTGATTGTGTCTTTTCTTTAATGAATTTTGTAAAATAATACTCCATATTGTTATGATGTTGATTTGGGGTTAATAAAGACAAACGCCAAATAACACGTAACAATAAAAAGGGGTTTATTCGGTGGGTAAGTAGGTACAGAAATCCCCTGAGTAGTCTATAACTAACTCAGCCAAGAACTTCTCCGACTGTCAGTCTTTTGATATGCCACTATTTAACGTCTTTGTTTGTAGACAAGTTCATCTTCAAGAGGGGTGGAAGGTTTCCTACACAACACATATCAAACTCTAAAATTGTTTGTAATAATTATTTGTAATAAAGCATTTTATTAGATTAATTTATTTAGATTAATTACTTTTCAGACTTTGGGATTAAGTAATTTTAAATAAGTTTAAATTAATTATTTTAAGCGTTAAGATCATTGTTATTATTATTATTATTATTATTATTATTATTATTATTTTGTATAAATAAAAATTAATTATTTTTTTAAACTTTCAGATGAAGTACATTTTTCGAGATGAGTTAAGGCATTTCTTTAGTTTTTACATTTAGACAAAATAGTTAATCCACTTGAGCTGGGTGTTAGTTAAAGTGATAGAACACAACCTTATATATTTTATAAGCATTCAATAAAAAACAAAAACATAAAAGGAAGAATGAATGATGTTATCTGACTTTAGTGCCCTGCGAACTTCTACGCATCCTTTTAACTGCTCGTGGGTGTAACATCGAGTCTAGCATCATCCTGGAGTAGCAGTTTATCATAGGTTGTATGTTTTTTCATGTCCATGCCGCCGTGGATGCAAACAAAAAAGGGCCGTTTATTCGTGAGTTTCCCTTTGTATAGGCCAACTTGATATTAACATTAGAAATTAATTTTGGCCAATTAGCAGGCTTCTTCTAATAACTGCGTACCACACCTCAAAATAAGGGGCATAACTCCTGTTCTTCTCTAATTTGATTTCTTTTTATCTGAATATTTGAGATGAATTATTTTTCGAATTTTAATTTGAACGTAGAGTATAACTATCTTTAAAACATTAAAATGTATTTTCCCTTCAGTCTCTATTTTTGCTTCTTTTTCACTTCCTTTTTCTATCAATGACTCTCTCTTTCTTTCGTTTTCTGTCTTTCTTTCTTTCTCAGTCTATCGCTGTTTCTATCTTTTTAATATCTTGCTTTTTCTATCTCTCTTTATCTTTTCTTGCTCTTTCTCTCGTTTTTATATCTCTTCCTATTTCTCATTTTATTCGTTTTTTTTCTCTGTTTCATTATTTTTCTTTCTTTCGTTTTGCTCTTTTTTTTTCTATTTTCTATCTTTTTCAATTTCTTTATTCTCTTTTTTTCTACTTTTCTCATTCCTTCTCTAAACTACATTCAATTTGAAAAAGTAATGGATATTTAACATTAGGATTGTTTAACATGTTTACTGTTTTATGTCTAAAGCAATCAACGTGCTTTAAAAGTGTTTCTGTCCATTTTCATCGTCTCATTACTTGGGTTAGCTCATTCTCTTCTGCAAGTATGACACATCGTAATCGTTAGCTGGATTGATTTACACCGCCAAAGTAAGTTTCCAGTCGGAAAAAGATGCTTGGGGTTCCTCTGCAAATTTACTCTGACACTTCTTCGAAAAATCTTACTTTTCTCAGAGATAGCATCCTTCAGTTGTCTCAAATTTCTTTTTTAAATCGACCAAAAATAAATATAAAAACTAAACGGAAAGCTATAAAAAAAAATGTGTGGCCTAGCAACAGAAAAAAAAAAGAAGTTTTTAAAAAATGTGGCCCACGCAGTGAACGGAGAATGTGAAAGGCGTTTCTCGGTCATCTTTATGTCTTAAAAGACGAACAATTTGATAAGCAGAGACAAAATGAAGGTTTCAGTTTTTAAAATAAGTCAACAGGATTTAGGTACTGCCGATGTACATATATGCATGTCTCTATGTAGCTATTTACTCAGCTTAAACTAGTCTGGCATAGGGCCCTAATAGTGATGAGCCTAAAGCATGCAAAATATCATCACTCTTCGACCAACTTCCTCGTACATTCACATCTAATAGAGATCAATTTTATATAATGGCCGTGACCAGTGAGGTGCTTCTTCACAGCTGCCAGACTTATAGCCATATCACGTTGAAACACAGGGTCCCGTACGAACATCGAAATTAAGCAACATCGAGCTTGGTCAGTACCGAAATGGGTGACCACTTGGGAATACCGGGTGCTGTAAGTTTGTGTTTGCGGGTTGTATGGCTTACGGCTATATCACGTTGAAACATCCTTTCTCATACGAACACCGAAGTTAAACAACATCTCGTCTGGTCAGTACCGAGAAGGGTGACCATTTGATAATAATAGGTATGTAATCTTGTGTATGCGTGTGGTATGGCTTACGACCATATCATGTTGAAACATTGATTCTCATACGACCACCAAAGTTAAGCAACATTGAGTCTGGTCAGTACCGAGATGGGTGATCGCTTGGGAATACTTAGTACTGTAAGATTGGGTATGCAGGTGGTATGGCTTACGGACATATCACGATGCAAAACCGGTTAGGGTATGATCATCGAAATTAAACAATATCAAACCTGGTGTCCACTTGGGAATACCAGGTGCTGTAAGATTGGATGAGTGGGTAGTGTAATGGATAATGGCTCGAAATTGGAGATGGGAGAGCCGAGTTCTAATTCCAGTCGGGTTTGTTATATTCACTTACGTGCAAATACCCTTGAGAAAGGTATGAATTCACCTCCACCCACACACACACCTGTATGAGTTAATTATTATCTCTCCAAAAATTCTTACAATCTAAAAATATTTTCTGGTTTTAAAATAACCTGCAAGGGGTTGGTAAGCCGTTAAAAATCAACCAAAACCCAGAACTTCCGAAAATCCAATGGTAAGCGCGCGATTGTTCATAGTCATTAATGGTTGGCACAATATTTTGAGAATTCACAGCATCAGAGATGTTTGACCCAATGATGAAAAACAATCAACATAATTGGGAACTGTCTGCGCTATTTACAACTTGAATATACTGATGGAACGGCACAGGCGGTTTGATTAATGTCCTACTTATATCACGATGATAATGAGCTTTGCAATACACATGCACAAACACACGCACGCACACACAAACACACGCACGCACACACACACACACACACATATATATATATATATATATATATATATTGCATATATTTTGGCGGCATGTTTTCATTAAGACATGTCTCAAATTATTTAGTTTCGTCTACTTATTTTTAATAAGATCCTCTCATAATTACGAACAATTTTCTCAGTAACCTTATTAAAGGAAGAAACAAAATTACCATGTTGATGGATATTCATTTTATTCCGAGTACTTTCGATATTAGCACAATATCCTCATCAGGGTCTCGTTTTTTCTAAGGCAAAAAATTGTTGTGGTCATCATTTTTCTAAGACAAAATTGTTGTGTTCATCTGAAAATTAAATTTTACGCGTGAAGTGAAAAAAGCTAAGTTTATGTACTGTACAATTTTTTAAATTTCATTATGTAGACCCACGTGCAAGCGTCAAGGGGAGTAACTAAGTTATTGTAATGTCTAAATATTTTTAAATAAGAAAAAGCTATTTAAAATTATTAGGTAAACCTAGATAATTTAACAATCTACTGTAAACATTTTAAAACATTTGTGCAGGATTCATAATATATTTTATTAAGGGTTGGTTTCGGTTTTTTAATATGTAAAACTTTAAGAAATGTTAATCATTTTTAGGAAAAAGTATAGATGTATTTTCAACAAAAATTTTCCTAAATTGCCAATGTGGACAGGTATGCTGTTGTAAATGTTAAGAGATGTTAGACGCATCATTCAAATGAAAACTCAACCTTCGAGACAGTGTAGTAGTGGTATTGCCAACCTGTATATTATTTTTTCTGTTGGGGATACATTAAATTAATTATGAATAATGCACAAATCATAAAAAATAGTAAGCGTAAAATTCTGTATTCTGGAAAATTATTTTAATTATTTAAGAAAATCGTAAAATATTAATATAATATCATGTTATGTTGATGTGGCCTATATGTTTGATTTGTAATTTTTGTGTTGTTATAAACATTGGCATTGTACATTTCGTAATGGACATGCGCATTGTTTACTTCAAACCGGATATCAACAACAACATGGTGATGGAGAAAGTGTTGTCTGTGCATTTAAAACAACCAATTGTGAACGTTGGAAATTTTAAAAAATGAGTTGGGGCAAAACTGAAGCAGTTTTCGTTGTAGAATCTATCAAGGAAAAATATCGTGAGACAAAAACCGTTGTAAACCTTTAACTAGATGTCGCCGTAAGTCTCTCTTTCTCTCTCGCCGATTGTAAAGAAAGATTGTTTGTAAATGCAAGAAGATCCCTAAAGTTGTGCTGATAGATATCGTTTTTGATTTGTCAAACAATGGCGCACGCTAAACAGAGTACTCAGTAAATATATTCGCAGTAAGTACTGTTAAATTTGGAAAAAGATACTGCATTTTGAAACTGATGAAACGGAACAGCTAATGTGGAAAAAAAGAGAAATCTTGAAACGTCGAAAAATCATCACTATGGTAAAACATGGGGGCGGGGCGATAATCTTATGTTTGGGGGTGTTTATAAAGCTAAGTGTATATATACCAAATTTAAACTTCTATTCATTCCTCTGTTTTATTTAACCCATACGTTCCTGGGTCCAATTTAAACTGAAGACTTCCTTTTTTAATATATTGTTACTATTTTGCTTAAAGTTTGTATTTTCTTGATTTCAAATGAAAGCTTGGAAAGTTTCCAATATATTTCAGTGAAATTTTCACTTTCGAATTTTATAGTTTATGATTATAGCTTCGATATATGGAAAATATATGGTTTATATAGAAATAATATATAGTTTAGATATATAGAAAAAAGACGTCAATTTAAACTGATACCAGAAGGATATAAATTCATAAAATATCGTATAATTTGACGTTTATTATGATTGATGATTTCCTTATCATATTTTCATCTCATAATAATTTTTCATTCTCACTGAAAATTAGTGTCAGAAGACCATGTTATCAAACTACACAGCCACTACATAAATTGTTTCGTGTCTATTGATAGCAGAATATAAATTCTAGATGATATCAAAAGTTCAGGAAATTTGACCATATCCAAGGAATTAATTCCCATAACACCAAGATTCCATATCTTTTATGATAAAGGCTGGTTATCAAAGAATCATGTTGAGATGATTCGCGATTCTTAGATAACCAGTCGTAAACATCAAGGATATAGAATCTCAGTGTTTCTCAACATGGTGGGCTTGTCAGGAAGGTGATTTTTTTTTTTATGTTATCGGCCCAGGGATGTGATGTCAGCATGCGGTACCTTTGGAAATTGTCTGAAAGCCATACCACGGGTTCGCACAAGCCTTGTGAATAAAGTTGAGAAAAAGGGAGCTGTTTTTTGTTGGTTGTGCTTGCACACCCATTACTACAAGATTTTGTTCTAATTTCATGATCTATAGCTTCTTCAGTTCCCTAGCCTGAGCCTGGTATTTTTCTGTCTTTTTTGTTTTTTTGGTATCATATGAAACAACGAAGACAATAATTTGATCCAACTAAAATTGTTCAAACTATTGATCACGCCAGATGAAGAGCTCTCTCCCAAAAAGAGTAACTATGGTCTGTTCAGCATAGTTGCAATATAAACCACAGGTAAACCCTGTGGGTGTTGAAGAAACACAAATGTATTATGAGCAAGCATTTGCAACATAAATTGGCGAGCCGTCCGAGCAGACACAGACGAGTAGTCAACCATTATCAAAGAATACTGTTCCCAAATATCCGAGACAACTTCAAATTCCGCTATACAAATTTCTAAAAAAAAAAAAAAGCGTAGCATCTTATATGCTTAGCTATATGTATGCGTGTCAATATCTTTGCATTTGTGCAGATTTCTATGTATATGTGTCTATGTGTGTGCAGGCTTGCCTATGTGTGTGGGTGAGCGTATCTTTGGACTGCTAGAGATTAATATAACGCCTACAGAGTTATGCCCCCCACACCCTTCTTGACGATAGTCTTAGAAAGGCTTAACCAAATTAGTTGCATTCCGAGTTAGGTGGTGTTGACTGAGAAGTTCCTTGCTAGCAGTTTATGTAGGAGTTGAAAGATAAGAAAAGAGAGGAAGCTGCGGAGGGAGAACGAAAAGGTGGGAGGGGGTAGACAAGATTAATAACTGCAAGGCGTCAAAGGGAAGGAGTGAGAATGGAGTAGAGACTGCTAAAAAAAGAGAAAACTGTAATGAAGAAAGAAATTAGGAGAATAATAATGGTAATAATAATAATAATAATGATGGTGATAATAATATTAATAATAATAATATTTTTTTCAGTTTGTTTAAAAGAGAAGTGGTATGAAGTGGTAGAAAAGGGCTGTCAAAAGATATTATGGGATTTCTCAGTCCAAACATATCATGTCCTTAAAACATGAAGACTCGACCTTATTATTACAAAAGTATAGAAAGTGTCAAATTATTGTCTTCGTTGTTTCATATGATACCAAAGAAACAGAAAAGACAAAAGAAATATCAGGCTCTGACTAGGGAACTGAAAAAGCTATAGATCATTAAAGTAGAACAAAATCCTGTAGTAAATGATTGTGCTTGGGACAGGGCCAGTCTCGTCCCAACCCCTACCGAATCTACGATACGGCCCCTCCAATCTATGATACTGATCTGTCCCACTCAATTTATGATACGGGTCAGTCCCCGTCAATTTATGAAACGGGGTCTCAACTCTATTACATCTCAGTTTTCATAAGGTAGTATTCATATAAATACAAATTTGATTGTAACCTAATTATGTACAATAATAGATCGAATGTAATATAGGTTAACAATTCAACTAAAAAAATTTAAAATAAATACAATTTAACTCAATACAAATTAGAAACATGTTATATTAGATCATTCCATCTTAAATAATTCAGCAATGTTTTGCGGCATTTTTTTACATCCACTTGAGATTTTTCTTGTTAAAAAGTTGAAGAATTTAAACACATTCAACATTAGGGGTAAAAAAAAAACCAGTGAATTTTATATCGTGTTTTTTCGAGATTTAACATGAACAAAACAAATTCGACGAAAAAACGAACCAGAATGACATCAAAATCAGCGAAAATGTTTCATCCTTTAAGTCTGTTGTGCTTAGTTTAATTTGTAACATATGTAAATGTAGGAAGAAAAAAAGCAAATGTTGATAAAATAGCGACAGTCACGAAGCACTACCCGGGTCCCCCAGTCAGGCTCCCCACTGGTCGGGGGAGGGGTAGTACACCCTCCCTGAATTGGGACGGAACCAAGAACGCTGAAAGACTGAAAAAGTGCTTAGGGAGAATTGGAAATGAGACCAAAATAGCAGATCTTCAGAATACTGCCATCATTTACTCCAGGAGGATCCAACAAAAGATGTTTGAATTGTAACGAATATTGTTGACTCCATGCCTCAAGAAGAGCATTTCCATTGACTATATGAATGTGCGAAACCAATAATAATAATAATAATTTATCATAAAAGACGAGAAATTAAGAAATTGTATGCTTATTGACATAGCAGTACCATCTGAGAGAATCACCTCCATAAAAATAATCGAGAAATTGTCCAAGTACAACGACCTGCAGATTGAGATTAACAGGATGTGGGGAATGAAGACTGAGACTGTACCAATAGTAATCGGAGTACTGGGCCTCGTGAGAAAAGGAATGGACAATTTTACTAACATTAACATACAAGTTGCCCAGAAGATCGCCCTACTAGGAACAACCGATATACTAAGAAAAGTGCTATCAGTCAAATGACATTTCTCCTATAGGGCCCAAGGACCATAGTTTGGAACCGGTCCTACAGGATACAAAGCAGGAAACATAACACACAAATAATAATAATAATAATAATAATAATCATAATAATAATAGATATAATTACCAGGAAAGGATACGGGTTTTCTATGATGACAGCGGATAAAAACCCATACATTTCTCATATGACGAAGTGGAGAAAGACCATTCTATTTCTATTACACAGTTCATATATATATATATATATATATATAATTATTTATTTAAAAATTATAACATAAAAATGTTATAAAATCACTACAAAAATAGCCATTTTGTTTCAACACTTCCAGTGTCTTATCAAGTGATGGTGTTGAATATAGAATATTCTACATTCAAATAAGCGATTGGAATATTTTAGTTATTAAAACAATACAAAACAGATATATTAAAAGAACATTCACAACAAAAAGTGGGCTAACTATAATATATATTTTACCGTAAAATGGCAATACGGAAATATAACAACGATTAAAAACGATCCTTCCTCATCAGAGCAAAATCGATGACCAAAAAAATGTGCACAGCGACTAAAAAAATGTAAAACCCCAGACTAATGTTATATGCAGATTACAAATATAACATTACAAGCTAATTACTTTTAAACCCACCAACCACTCCGTCTGTTTACAGAAAGATGGTTGGTAGGACTTAATATATACAGGTGAAATCGGCATTGTCCTTTCTCAGCACCGAGGACATTTCCGAGCTATAAGACCGAATACACTGCTGGTTTTTTTTATCAAAGCTCGTTAATAATCCTATGTTCGGTCTCATTCTGTAACGCGTTCTTTTGATCAGAATTCGGATAAGTTTTTCATTTTGAATAAAATGTTTGAAAACTCACTGACATTTGTTCGTGGCCTTTCTGCACAATGAATTACAAATGTGTATAATAATAATAATAATAATAATAATTTTTACAACGATGTTCAGCCTGTACAAGGCCCTTGAGGAACTCGAGGTAGAGGGTTACAGAGTAAGAGACACAGTGTATGCGGATATGTGGGGAAGGTAATAGTTAAAAATACACTTGAATAGGTTAAGATTGTAGTGACATCATTTTGGGAGTCGGTTTCCCAAAGCAACGATTCGTGGGAAGAAGCTTCTCGGCTGGAGGTTACATGTCACCAATACGACGGGAATCAGCGTGGTTAGCTACAATGTACGTAGCATGGCGGGCCTTAGCCGTAAAGGACCTAAGGAATGCAGTTCGTCTGAACACTTTTCATAGAAATACTGATAGAACAACGAGAGGCCAGCGACGTTTGGTCTGTGAGAAAGCGGTTGTAGGGTGGAAAATAATAATTTTATCTAAGAGTAATACGTAAAGACATTCAGTTTGCATAAAATACGTTGAGGGTCACCCTGTACAAGGCCCTTGAGCTACTCGAGGTAGAGTTACAGATTAAGAGGTACAGTCTATGTGGATACGTGGGGGAAGGCAATGGTTAACCTTACACTTGAATAGGTTAAGACTGTAGTGATCGGAGATACACCCTTTTTCACAAAGCAACGGTTCGTGGAAAGAAGCTTTTCGGGTGGAGGTTACATCTCACCAGTGAAATACGAAGGGAATTAGGGCAGTTCGCTTAAATGTACGTAGCATGGCGGGCTTTAGCTATGAAGGTTAGAACTGGTGGAACTAAAGATCGTAGTTCGTCTGAATACTTTTCTTGGAAATACTGATAGAGCAGCGAGAGGCCAGCGATGTTACATCTGTGAGAAAGTAGTTGTAGGGTAGAAAATAATTTTTCACCCACAAGGACGCGGAGACGCTTTTGGATTCTATCGAGACCAGAAAATAAAGACTGGGAAACTCCTACCCATATATGGTAAGAGTGCTCCATTTTTGGCACAATCAGTAATAATAATAATAATAATAATAATAATAATAATAATCAACAACAACTACAACAACAATGCAACAAAATCTTTCATGCCCCATCACTCCAGGAAATCTGAAAAAAATATTTCCCACAAGAACAACCGATATTCTGTGAAGAGCTTTGTCCATTTAAGATATTTTTAATAGCTGCCTTTTGTGGAAACAACATAAAATCCTTCATCTGCCCTAGATCATTATTTATGATCGGGCATTTGATTATAAAATAAGTTTTTTATTTATTTATTTTTTTAATAGAAATTCACGGGATATTTTTTAAAATTAAAAAATGAGACGGCACCGTTAATTCTAAAGCAGACCCCGAGTTTTCTTCAGATACAGTGATACCTCGGCTTAATTCGCTTCGATGTAAGTCATTTTCGAAGATACGTCGGTTCTTTCTTAAATATTATATGGAAAAATAAAACTCGATAATAATCGTTTTACTCGAGTTTACGTCGATCGTAAAAACATTGGAAACGTCAAAACACTAAAATAACAATAAACACATATAAAATCATATTTAAATAAATTTTAAAATAATTTTATATATATATATATATATATATATATATATATATATATATATATAATAAAACCATCAAAAACAAAACTATAGCATAATAAAGTATGTTCACCAGATGTTCTTATTTCAAATTCTTACCCACAGGCGGTACTCATGCGTTTTTTTCCGGTCGGATTTTGAATTCAGACTTGTTTACATCTGTGCTCTGCCGTTGACGTTCTTTCAGTTACATTTCATTTGTGATTTAGAATAAATTTTGCCCATGGCTCCGAAGAAAAGTCCCAGTGCAAGTGCTAATGCTAATGCTAAGCGTAACGCTATATCTTTGGAAGATAAGGTGTAAAATAATTATTTTATTCAGAATACTGTACGTACATATCACAAGTACTGTAAGATGCAATGGGGAGTGCTTATTTGCGGTTTATAGTATTGTTATTTCGATTTCAGTCGTTTTTCGACCTAAGTCGTAACCTCTGGAACAAATTAGCGATTTAGGCTGATGTATACTCTCAATGAGGCTCATTGGAAACTTTATTTGAATTCAAAAGGAAAGAAATGAGTATACAACAGAAATTAATAAAGCCCAGACATCATGATTAGAGACCACAAAAACAAAATGCGCCTTCTTATTTACGTGGCAGTCCGTGCAGACTGTAATGTGTCTATGAAGATCTTCAAAACTTATCAAAATACAAGGACCATAAAATCAAAATCTCAAAAATCTGGCACATGAGAACATCAATAATTCCAGTTGTAGATGGAGCCCTTGGATTGATTGGAAAAGGTTCCAATAGACTCATTGAAGGATTCCTAGTAGCTCAAGCCTTAAAGAAATACAAAAAATTGGATGCTACTATAGTATGATATCTACTGAAGCATTTGTGACCTCCCGTAAACTACGACGCCTTCATTATTGCTGGAATATGCTCAGGGTAAACGATGACCTGTTTATTGATTATTTTTTTACATCAGTTTACAAACATTAAAATCACTATTTGATGATTTTTTGTACAAAAAATTGTCAGTGACTTAATAAACAGTTCACAGTTCACTGACTTTAATCCTAAATCCTAACCCTAAATCCTAACCCTAAATCCTAACCCTAACCTCTAACTCTAGCCCTAATCATAACATATTTCATACTTCTAATAGTTAGTAAATATCATAGCATAGTAGAAAATGAATAGTAGTACCACTATTGTAGCATTAAAAATTATACTCAAAAGTACAGCCCACATCTTACGAAGGGCTTTATCTATGTAAAAAGTGTGTGATCTTAGAGGGGTTTTTTTCTTTGGGACCCGGAAAAATAAGTATACATCAGAAATCAAAGGAAATAATAATAATAATAATAATAATAATAATAATAATAATAATAAGAAGAAGAAGAAGAAGAAGAAGAAGAAGTAGGTGAAGAAGCAGCCGAAGAAGAAAAAGAAAATAAGAAGAAGAAGAAGAAGAAGAAGAAAGCGCAGAAGAAATAATAATAATAATAATAATAATAATAATAATAAGAAGAAGAAGAAGAAGAAGAAGAAGAAGGAGTAGGTGAAGAAGCAGCCGAAGAAGAAAAAGAAAATAATAATAATAAGAAGAAGAAGAAGAAAGCGCAGAAGAAAAAATAAGAAGAAGAAGAAGAAGAAGAAGGAGTAGGTGAAGAAGCAGCCGAAGAAGAAAAAGATAATAATAATAAGAAGAAGAAGAAGAAAAAGAAAGCGCAGAAGAAGAAGAAGAAGAAGAAGAAGAAGAAGAAGAAGAAGAAGAAGAAGAAAATAATAAGAAGAAGAATGGCGCATCTCAAAGCTTAAAAATGAGGCCATTTGAGAGAGAAAAAAAATTTTTAAAACAGAATTAATATCTTCAAAGGTAACAGAAAATTCTACAGGGAAAGGAGAAATCAACGAAGCCTATAGAAAAACACTATCATATGAAAAAGTGGGAGAGTTTTGAAATAAAATATGGGGAAATAAAATTAAAAGTGACACAAAAACTAATCAAGAAGACTGAACTGAATTATGTGTAGAAAGATGAACAGAAATAGAATTTCACAGACGTTCAATAAGTACAACCTCTCATAAAACAAAACAAAAAAATATAACTTCCGGTTAAATGCTTTTCCATCGATACAAAAATGTCCAGCAACACTGTTTATATAATGTTTATATAAATGTTTTATAATGTTTTATATAATACTCTCAATAACCAAGAGGGAAATTCTGAATGGTTAACGTTAGACATCACTTATTTAATTCCCAAAACTGACGATACTGTCATACCGAAAAATTATGTCCCAATCGCATGTTTATTCACAACATATAAAACTAGCAACTCAACTCCGTAAAAACTTTGTTACTGTGAAAACTACAGCAGAAACACCTAGTTTGTGATCCTTGCATTGCGAGGACCTAAACTTTAAAAGCAAGTTTACAGAGGAAACATACCAAATGTATTCGTAACGTAATTATGAAAAAAACATTTTATACAACAAATATTTATTTTTCAACATAATCACTTTCCTTGTCAATATCCTTAAACCAGAGGGGTTTTTTTTTGCGTTTATCTCATAATTTGAATAGTATACAATGAAAATGTCATTATTATATTATCTATTCCAACCAATATGCTTATCTTGGTTATTATACTCACAACGTTTCGGTCCTTATGCACTCCGACCTTCTTCAGTAACCTTCTTGAACGCTGAACGATTCATTCAAACAAAATCATAGAAAGAAAGAATAACAAAAGAAAGAAAAGCAAAAAAAGGAAGAAAAATGAAATGAAATACAAAACGAAAGACAGAATGAAAAAGAAAGAAAACGAAACGAAAAAGAAAGTAAGGAAACAAAAACAAAGAAAGAAAGAAAGAAAGAAAGAGGGAACGAAAGAGAGAAATAAAGAAAAACAAAACGATAAAAAGGAAACAAAAACAGAATAAAGAAAGAAAACAAAAGAAATAAAACGAAACAAAAATGAATGAAAACAAAACGAAAGAAAGAAAACAATACGAAAGGAAGTAAGAAAGAAAATAAAACAGAAGAAAGAAAAAAAGAAAGAAAGAATGAAAGAAAGAAAACAATACGAAAGAAAAAGAAAGAAAGAATGAAAGAAAGAAAACAATACGAAAGAAAAAGAAAAGAAAGAAAGAAAGAATGAAAGAAAGAAAATACGAAAGAAAAAGAAAGAAAGAAAGAATGAAAGAAAAGAAAACAATACGAAAGAAAAAGAAAAAAAAGAAAAGAAAGAACCAAAGCAAAAAAGAAAGAAAACCAAACTGAAAGAAAGAAAACAATACGAAAGAAAGAAAGAAACGAAAGAAAGAATGAAAGAAAAGAAAAACAATACGAAAGAAAAGAAAGAAAGAAAGAATGAAAGAAAGAAAACAATACGAAAGAAAAGAAAGAAAGAAAGAAAGAAAAAGAAAAAAAAGAAAGAAACCAAAAGAAAAAAGAAAGAAAAACAATACGAAAGAAAGAAAAACAAAAAAGAAAGAAAGAAAGAAAGAAAAGAAAGAAAGAAAACAACACGAAAGAAAAAAAAGAGAGAGAAACCAAAGAAAAAAAGAAAGAAACCAAACTGAAAGAAAGAAAAGAATACGAAAGAAAGAAAGAAAGAAAAAAAGAAAGAAAACAATACGAAAGAAAAGAAAGAAAGAAAGAATGAAAGAAAGAAAACAATACGAAAGAAAAAAAGAAAGAAAGAAAGAATGAAAGAAAGAAAACAATACGAAAGAAAAAGAAAGAAAGAAAGAATGAAAGAAAGAAAACAATACGAAAGAAAAAGAAAGAAAGAAAGAATGAAAGAAAGAAAACAATACGAAAGAAAAAGAAAGAAAGAAAGAAGAACCAAAAGCAAAAAAAAGAAAACCAAACTGAAAGAAAGAAAACAATACGAAAGAAAAAAAAGAAAGAAATGAAAAGAAAGAAAACAATACGAAAGAAAAAGAAAGAAAGAAAGAAAGAATGAAAGAAAGAAAACAATACGAAAGAAAAAGAAAGAAAGAAAGAATGAAAGAAAGAAAACAATACGAAAGAAAAAGAAAGAAAGAAAGAATGAAAGAAAGAAAACAATACGAAAGAAAAAGAAAGAAAGAAAGAAGAACCAAAGCAAAAAAGAAAGAAACCAAACTGAAAGAAAGAAAACAATACGAAAGAAAGAAAGAAAGAAAGAAAGAAAGAAAGAAAGAAAACAATACGAAAGAAAAAGAAAGAAAGAAAGAATGAAAGAAAGAAAACAATACGAAAGAAAAAGAAAGAAAGAAAGAAAGAATGAAAGAAAGAAAACAATACGAAAGAAAAAGAAAGAAAGAAAGAATGAAAGAAAGAAAACAATACGAAAGAAAAAGAAAGAAAGAAAGAATGAAAGAAAGAAAACAATACGAAAGAAAAAGAAAGAGAGAGAAGAACCAAAGCAAAAAAGAAAGAAACCAAACTGAAAGAAAGAAAACAATACGAAAGAAAGAAAGAAAGAAAGAAAGAAAGAAAGAAAGAAAGAAAGAAAGATAGAAAGAAAAAAAAAATGTATGGAAAGTGAAAAGTGAAAATAATGCGAAAGATTTTTATGGAACTCTTCCTCCTAAAAGTAAATATTAAATTGTATGAATTCATGGATGAATAAAAACGATACGAATCAGAAAATGAAAGATTGACATGCGTGGATGAAAATAAAGGAATAAATAAATTACTTGTAAGAATGGAAGGACAAATGAAAAAACGAATTATCTGACACCGCGGATGAAAAAAAAAAATCCCTGCATTCTTCTTGACACCCTCATCACCTTTGAACGGACTTATAATTTGACTGCTTACAATACTCGTCAAAAACATTATTTCACATTTCAGTGTTGTTTTCTAAGTCATATTTGTTGGCAATTTTTTTTTATGAAGGACCCAATCTCGAGCTTTGTCATTAGGGTCATCCAATAGCAAAAGAGACAACACAGGCTGCGAGTTACACGCTTTCAGAATCAAGCAGTGCAAAAATTCAACCATCGAATAACAGACGATGGAAAATGTAACACAGAAGCCCGGAGGTACATAGTAATATCGAAAAATGCCTTCCAGAAACTAAGCGTAGTACAAAGACAAATATTGTTAGACAACAAAAAAAACAAAAACAAAATTGTTGAACTGCGATGTAACATCGAATCTCCATTTTGGCAGTGGCTACTGGACTAATTCCTTAAAGATGAACAAGATATTTGAAGTGATAAAGATGCTAAGAATACCATAGACAGAATATATGAGTAATGAGGAAGTCTTAAGGCAAAGAGGGACAACAAGGAAACATACATCAGAAAGAGACAGCAGATATTTGCATTGGTCGATTGACTGATTTAGTTTTTACGGCTTATCAACCTTCTGTAGGTTATTTGATGCTCAATCATATCTTGAGATTGTAAAAATCATTAGTTTTTCCGAGTTAATATTGTATTAATTTCTTGTTGATAATAATGATTAGACTCATTACACACAATGACATACATATCTATGAGAAAATCTTCCTAACTCGATGCGATTTGATAGTCACCTAAAGAAAGAAAAAAAGAAACAGTATACAAGTTTTACTATTTTAGCCCATAGATGGGGGAGAAGAAGATGGATTCATGCCTTTCCGAAGGGTATTTGCGCCTAAGTGAATATAATGAACCAGACTGGAATTCGAACTCGGCTTTCTGAGTTCTCATTCCGCGCCTTTATCCTTTATACCACTCGCACATCCAAGCTTACAGTACCTTGTATTTCCTAGAGGTCACCCATCTAGCTAATGACCAGGTTCAACGTAGCTTAACTTCAGTGATCGGACGAGAACCGGTGTTTGAACGTGATATATCCGTAAGCCCTGGTATTTCTAGGTCACATAACAAGGAAAGTAGGTTTGGAGAATACAACGCTCGCAGGACATACTGAAGCCAAAAGAAAAAGCGAGTCACCTATTTAACGAGTTTGTGCGCAGGAACGGCAGAATAAGTCGCTAAAGAGTAAAAGATTAATTTAAAGCAATAAAAGAGGGGAAGATGTGGAGAGTTATTATCGTTTCCGTTCTGAAAGGACTTGGCACATAGAAGAAGTAAATGTAGTTCTACATTCATCTCTAAAAATAAAAACCAGTGTGCAAAATCTTTGCGCTCGGTGAAATATAACAAACGATATATAGATATATACATTGTCTTTTATTCATCTGAATTCACTATAGGTTTTTTTTTTTACTTACAAACCTCTTTGACCCGTAGCTAGAATTGTCTATGCTAAGTAAATATCTATATCTAAGTAAATATCTATATCTAAGTAAATAACTATAATCTGTAGCAACATTTGGTTCCTATCCGTTTGTATCTTTAAAAATCACAGTGCATGAAATTATCCCCAGTGATAATATAAATCTCTGAAAGAAAATGTCATTTTGTCGTTCTTTATTTCAATTCTGGGTAGAGCTTTCCTAACCCACAAACCTATACGCATTCTTTTGCAACACCGGTAGAAAGTAGACATCGTTTCTGCGAGAAAGAGAGCGTGCGAGAAGACATTACGTGTAACGCTGTTAGTTTTCATGGTGTGTCTATCAACGAAAATTTGTAATAGTTTTGTAGAGTCAATGATAATACTTCTCGCCTAGTCCTTCTTCTTCTTCTTCTTCTTATTATTATTATTATTTCCCAGCCAGAGACCTCAGGTCAGAGATAGCTTCATCATTCTTCTACTGATCATTTTCAAAAAAAAAAAAAAAAAAAAAAAATTATTAATATCATCAATTAAACGAATTATCGTAATCATATGGCTTACGGCCATATAGCGTTGAAACACCAGTACCTCTACGATCACCGAAGTTAAACAATGTCGTGCCTGATCAGTGCCCAGATGGGTAACCGCTTGGGAATACCAGGTGCTGTAAGTTTGGATGTGCAAATAGAGTAGTAGATAATGGCACCGAATAGTTAATCGAAGAGCCGAGTTAAAATTCCAGATTGCTTTTCTATATTCACTTACCCGCAAATACACTAGGGAAAGGTATAAATCCACCTTTTCTTTCCTCCCAAATATGGGTTAATTAGTAAGATTTGTATCACTAAATCATTATTATCTCGAAAAATATTTTATTGCTTTAAATAACCTGCAAGCCGTAGGAAATGAATCAAATGCTTATTAGCTACACACTGATTTATTTGCATTCTCGGAAGTGGATGTGGAACTAGGACAATCTAACCTGACGAAATAAAGGGTTCGATTCGAAATTCCAATCACCTAAAGAAGGCCGGAGCGTACAACGGCCGAAACGTTGTGAATATGGCAATGAAAATTAGGATAACAGTCCGAATAATGTAAATAATCTAGATATTCTCAGATATATGGGTAGTTACTTCCAACTACTACTTTGTTCCTATTCTTGTGATCTGTAGGTGCTAAATCTTATAAGTGTAGAGAATATGAAAGAAGCTCCCATCATAGTAATTGTATTTTTTGGAGGATCGAGTGTTGTTTGCAGAGTGTATCCTTGTATTATCATGCTGGAAGATAACACTCTTTTTGTTTATCAAGGCAAGACACTTTCCATGTTATGCTTTGTTTATTCTATCAAGTTGCATGCAATAAAGGTCTGCAGTAATGACACTTTCATTTTGAAGAAACATATTCCACCAGACAAAAAGCACAAACTTCTTTGGAAGTGGTTCTGGAGGTATGAATCCTCTTCTTCTCCCCCCCCAGATATGGCTAAATAGCAGGGCAGACCGGGTTCTATAGACTTGGATGGCAACTGGTCTACTGCAGAAAAAAATGGCAACCTACTGCGGGAAAAAATCTGCCTCGTCAGTCATGTATCGAAAGATACATGATCTCCTAAGCGTGTATCATGCATGGCACATAACTAACTGATTGGTTACTCATTCTATGATAATCACTTTAAATATAACAACTAGAAGCTGATGATACGTTATTTTACGAATTCGGCTTTTGCGCTGAATAACATTTATTTTGTTGTGATGGATGATTACAAGCGAGAGAAGCGATGGGGTGTGCTTATTTCATCCTCACACCACTGTCTTTTTTCGTTTTTTGGTGAAATAGTAATAGTAAACTTATTTTAGTGTAATAGTTGCTTAGTTTCCGAATACCATTACGACGCCTTTGTTATTTAATATAGGTTCGTTGCTTCTTATTAAAAGCGTTTCTAATATTTTCAAATATTTTTCTACAATGAGAAATATTTCATAATATGTTTGTGTTGTACATTGTTTACTATCGTCTTCATCTTTGTTGCCATATTTATCACAACGTTTCGTCCATTGTACGCTCCGGCCTTCTTCAGGTGGTTGAAATATCGAACTGAACCCTTTATTTCGCTCGTTGGGGTAGACTGTTCTAGTTCCACGTGCCATGTCTAATGAATGTCAGTTATCACTTATCTCGTGTAAATCCCCCTCTCCAAGTTCTCCACTGCCTTAACCAGGTATCACACTCTTTGGGTCCTGTCACTGGATCTAACTAACACCTTTATCCAAAGTGACATGTGTCCTTGAGGACATCTGTGTATGGATTTCTGGGAATTATAAACCTAATGTCTTCAGCACACATTTTTACCAGTAGTCATATTGCAATTTTTGCTGTTATCATTGCATGTTTTTTTTACCAGACCTCATATTGCAATTTTTGTTGTTGTTATTACTTTTCTCTGGCACTCCTTATTACTGGTTCCCATATTGTATTCATTTCTATGCTTGGTCGGCTCAGGAGATTTTTGTGGCCTAGCATATGTGCTGATTCCTTACGTTTACAAATTTTCCAGTGATGTTCTTTGTCTATGATTTTAACCTGGTCCCACAGAGGGCGGTGATCTCCCTTTTCTCTCCACATGTGGTCAACCACGCCTGATTTTCCCACTTCCCCTGGTGTTGCAGCTTTTTGGTGTTCTTGAAGCTTTACCTTAAGGGAGCAGCCTGTTTCCCCTGTATATTTCTTTCCGCTGCTGCATGGGATGGTGTACACACAGTCTTTAGTCATGTTCTCCTCTATGGGCAGTCTTACCCAGGAGAGGTATCTGCGAAGTGTCGTTCAGCTTTTGAAGGTTGTGCTGATGTTATATGGACCGCAGATCCTTTGTAATTTCTCTGATAACCCCTTCACATAAGGGAGGCAGACTGTTTTCTGAGTGTTGCCGTTATCCTCTTATACCCGCCTATCCCCAGTTTATTTGGGTTGCTGTCTTGTACACAGGGTAGTCGTTACTTTGTAAGGTACTGCTTATACTGACCTATTCTTTATCTAATATCTCTGGGTCGCCACTTACGCTTTTGCTCGGTGTTGTAAGCAGCGGACGATCACTTTCTTTACGCTGTATGGATGGTTGGAGTTGAAATTGAGGTACTGTCCAGAGAATGTAGGTTTGCAGTATACGGATGTCTTGAACCCATTTTCTGTTCGAGATATTAGAACACCCAGGAATGGGAATGTGTTTTTATTCTCTTTCTCCATAGTGAACTGTATCGAAGGTCTTATTGAGTTCACATGGCGCAGTAGAACCTGAACATCTTCCTGTTGTGGCCAGTGTATGAAGGTGTCATCTACGTATCTTAACCATAGAGTTGGCCTTAGAGATATAGATTCTAATGCCATTTCCTCAAAGTATTCCATGTATATATTCGCCATTGCTGGTGATAATGGCAAGCCCATTGCTAAACCCTCATCTTGTCGATATATGTGTGAAGTATGTTGTTTGTGTACTGAAAGTCAACATCTCCATCAGATTATCTATTGGATTACTGGTCCGTTCTCCTAGGAATGAGTCAGAGGTCAATCTGTCTCTGACTACTGAGGGTGCCTCCTCCGTGGGCACCTTGGTGAACAAACTCACCACGTACAAGCTCCTCACAAAACGTTGTGATAAATATGACAACAAAGATGAAGACGATAGTCCGAACAATGTAAATAGTGTACATAATACCTCATCTCAGAAATATAAACAGATGTTTGTGTTGTCTACAAGGATTTTTTTTGGGGGGGTGACTTTTTCGAACGAGAACAAAACGTCTTGGCTATGTTCTGGAACTAAGCCAAAAAAGTGCTAAGAGTTAATTTCCTACTACGTTTACGCAATACAAAATGAGAAACAAAACAAAGATATACTAACAATCTTCGTTACCGCGAAAACAAAAGCCGAATATGAGAGAATAAACACTATAGACAATTTCTACACAAACATATTCCTAAAAAAACAAACAAAGAAAACTTGTAAAAACAAATGCAAAATTAATTTAAAAAACTTACAAAATATTCCTTGCCTGTCATATTGAAAATTTTTGTTACTATCACCGCATTTGTATGAAATGAAATATATCGGGATCCCTAAAGTGGCAGAATCTCATCACATATTTTCTGTTTTTATTTCAGAGCGATAAGTGTAGCCCAGAATGGTACAAGTGACATTGCATGAGCGTGTCAGATGTCCATGGTACAAATGCAGTGTTCTTGTTCCTCGTGCTTTAGTAGATACCAAAACCATCAGAAATAGTCATTTCAACTTGATGAGCATATGGGATCTGTGGTATATATATATATATATATATATATATATATATATATATATATATATATATATATATATAAAAAAAAGGGAAAACACTAATATTCCATGGTCATAATTTATTCCATTGGAATCGTAAATTATGACCATGGAATATTAATGTTTAAACCTTTTATTATATCCTTACTCTGTCCTAGACATTGAGTTCTACCTGGATTCTATCCTCTTGAATTATTTTTATACATATATATATATGTATGTGTATGTATGTATGTATTTATATTTATATACTTTTAGATATATGATTGCATATGTATGTGTATATTAACCACTAATATTATCAATATATATATATATATATATATATATATATATATATATATATATATTATCAATCTATAGTTAAACCTAGAGAGCCAGACAAACCTACCAAGGTTTCACCTAAGCGGATCGTCAGGGAGCCGGCCTTCCATGACGATGGGCTTAGGTGAAACCTTGGTAGGTTTGTCTGGCTCCCTAGCTTTAACTAGGTCTGCTCTACTCATTGTATTGAGCACTTTATTTAGTTGTTTTGGGTACTCGCATCGGGTTTTTTTTCTTTGGGCCTTGACCTCGTAAGCTGGACGATTATTTTCAGCTAACGTACATTTGGTTCTTTCATTTTTATAACTTTTTTCCCTTTTCGTATTGGCTTGTTTATTTGCAAATCAATACACCGAGTGTTTTCCGACCGAGTATAGTTTCTTATACTTATATAGATTTCTATTAATAATAATATATATATATATATATATATATATATATATATATATATATATATATATGGGTGCGATGGATATATTGTCGTCTAAATTACGCAAAAATGAAAATAACAGTGACATCTCATTTTAACAGATATATTTACCAAAATTACATAAAAATATCTTGAAATACTAAAGAGTCGATTTATTCAATGAAATCGCTACTGGCTTCAACCACGGCCCCTAGACGACTTCGGAATCTCCTGCATCTCTTCTGGACGATCTCCTTGTTTAAGTTGGTTAATGTTGCCATAATCCTTGGTGTTACAAGGAATTTTGTTGTTCTCTCGCTCAAATGCGTCCCACACATAATAATCAAATGGGTTGCTGTTTGGGGAGTTAAGTGGTCAGATGTAATGGTTGATGTGATTGCAGAAATTGTCTGACTGCTATGACTGGGTTATCCTTCTTGTGTTGCAGGGTACATCGTCCTGTTTCCAGATATAGGGTCTTCCAACAGCCGCCCTCTTGACCAAGAGCAGCATTACCCTTTCAACGCATTTGATTCAAGCCTCCGTGTTGAGTCTGAGGCCCTATCGGAAGATGAATGGAGGCATAACGTCACCATCACTAGTAA